CCGACCTCTACCGGCAGAAGAATGGGGAAGGAGCTCGCGCTGCTCAGCCAGCTTGCAGAAAATGGAAAGTTACGAAGTCTGCTGGTGCAGAATAGAGCGAAGCTAATTCCGGCAGCTTGCATGACCGGAACAGCGGAACAAATATTTGCTGATTATTATAATGATTGCATTCTCGTTGATGATATTATTGCTAATTTCTAAATTATAATTGCCATGTCCTCATCCATCAAACGCGGAATGGTAACATTACCGGGTACTTCGCGCTACAGTAGCTTCGGGTCTTCGACCACTTTGACTAGCTAGGTAGGCCTATCCGAACATTTCGCCGACTTTCGCCCTCGGAATCGAACAGCGGTTCGACGAAACCATTGAACCACCCGCACTCCAAGCAACCGACTGGAGTCTGGTGGGGTTCGGTCGAGGGGTTTAAGGGTGGGTGGGGCCTTCCAGTTAGGGTGTGGGTTAGGGTTTCGACTAATTCCGCAAGTGGGAATCAGTATTGGGTGGCCGTCCCGGGGCCCGGTTGAGAATCACGAAAGAATACGATAATTCGTTGGCTGAGTTACATCGAGAACCGGGACTGGTATTAGGAAGTACAAAAGTTGGAAGCCCTAGAAGCTGAATTCGCGCTCCGCAAGTTGCAACCCTACCCACCCTAACCTCCAAACCAACCCCAAACAAAACGCCGGGCACTGACCTATCTCAACCTGATCTGAGATCGAAAGGACTTCCGACTCCGCCAGACACGTGCGGGGTATTACCTCCAGGCCGTCCAGGCTCGGGTACATATGGCCAAATTGTTGGCAACCCGGCCCCTGATTATCTTCGATGGGGCTTCGCTCTGTAAGTACACAGCCCGGAGACGGGTAAGGTTGGTATCCTGGTTAGGGTGGAGAGACGTGCGGAGCGCGTAAAGTACTTCGGGTTAGGGCTTATAGTTGAGGTGCCCGGGGCCTTTCAAATCTAGGTAGGGAAGTCGGGACACGCCGCTAACAGGAGACAGGGGGGTGCCACTGTACCAGTGCGCCGTGCGGTATTACCCAGGTAGGATACCCGGTTCAGGGTAGGTACCTAAGTTCTCGCGCAGGATTGCAATCTCACCTGACAGTGACAGTGACTGTGAGTCTGACAGTCGCTGTCCTCGAGCAAGTTGCAACCGTTTAATGGTCAAGCCTGGCACGATTACCTATATGGTGACAGTGCTGAGTGACGCAGAGTAGCTCAGCACAAGTCCGCCATTCTCTTTCTCAAAACTTAGGAGGTTTGGATTCTCAAACCTCAAGCCCTTCACGGCTGTCCCCCTTTCTAAGTATGTAGAGCTGCTTCAGGCAAAGGGCGCACGCATGGCTTTTACATCCGGCTATCCCGCCAAGCCACGGCCATATGCATCTCTGCTTGTAGCATGCTTGTTCCTTGTTGTTGTTGTTCTCATCATCACTTTGTATTCTGCTGCACAGTGCTCTTTCCTTTTCCGGCGAGGGCTGACCTGTACCCCCCCTGAAACACCCACAGTCCAAGGAACAAAGGTCTATGCAAGGTCAGATGCGGAATATGTGGCGGGATGCGCCAGGGACTGGCGAGGTCACCTCAGAACAAAGTCAGCGCCTCTGGACTCCCAGTGGCTAGCGCTTCATGAAACTGCTGCTGACGTCACTCTTTTGGGGCCTGATGGGACGCCCGTTCCGCTGGAGAAAGTGGGCACTCTGCAGCTGCTCAATAACACCGCGTACAAGTTTGAGGCCCAGCACTCAGGCGCGTACAAGCTGCTGGTGTCAAATGAGCCGGTGTCAGAGTTTGCGCTGCACCCCTCTGACTGCTACTGCCCAACAGGGTTCGCCCAGTTTTTGGACCGCTACGAATGCACGGCGGAGATGGGGGAGCACGTGCGGGAAATGATGGCGCGCTGGCGGCCCGGGTCAATCACGCGCGAGATGCTGGCGTACCCGATTGACGTCCAGCTCTCCACACACTCTTACATCCTCCAGTTTGCGATCATCAACAACAAGCTGTACTGCAAATTACAGGACGGGCAAAATTGCCCCCTGCCCACTGAGGGGTTTTGGTTTGTTGGCTTGGACCCGCAGATAAGATTGATCCAGGCGATCTTGCGCAAGACCAGGATTCCCGACATGCTCTTCTTCTGGAACCAGGCGGACAACCCGATGCTGCACCATTACGCAATGCAGCCCATATTCTCTCCGTCGTCGGCCGAATGGTTTGCAGGTGAGGGTTAGCTCTGACCATCTTGCGTTAAGTGCCCCATTCAGAAACCAGTGGATCTCCTGTCTGCTGTCAACTTTACTGGAATAAGAAGGAGTGCACGTTGGTTTAGCTTCAACTGATGTGTGCTTCTTCTTCCCCAGCCTTGCTTTGGGGGGTAAGAAGAGTGGTCAGTCCATTCATTGACGTATGGCTGCAGTGTTATGTGCTTCTTTCCTTTGTTGGATATGTACAGCTGAGCGGCACTGGGGGAATCTTTAAGCATGATTTCGGTCATCAAAGCATGGTTAATGGGTGAACAAAAACATGGTTGAAAGGTAGATTAAGAAACTTTGCTTAAGTTGGTGATCTATCGTTTTATGTTTAGGTCGTCAGGGTGGAGCTAGCTGAAAGAAGTCCTGGTATTCGATAGGCCCCTTGAAGCTTTCAGCGGTGACTACTGAGATCCGGTGCAGTGCCGCACACTCGTATTTTGGCTCCTCATGTCAGTTTGGATTTTCCTGTGGTTGAACAACCATCTCAACAAACCCCTTGTCAGTCTCATGAAACCAGTCAACCGGCAGTGCTGTGTTATTTAACGCACTCCCACATGTATTTTTTTATCCTTTCTGATACCTCCTGGATGTTTCTTGCCTGCGACGCACGCGTGTCTGATCTGTTGCGAGTGCCATTACGCATCGTTGTCCAGTTGCTAGTAGTGTGACCTACTTGAGAAGACTAGAGACATCCTCTTTTGAGCCCCCTGAGAGAAGGAGTCACCTCTGAAAGCCTACCAACTGGAGTCTTAGACTGATCGAAGGCAGGCTTCAAAATCCAGTGGTTCAATGGCAACGCACTGGTGGCAGTGATACGAATAAGAGGATGCGTCACAGGAATACTTTTCTGTGACGCACCATTCTGGCGCCTGAGATTAAGGTCCGTCAAGTCCGTTGTTGAAAGACGTGCTCAGCAGCTACCTTTCATAGGGCACCCGCACCCGAAACTCCGGTCAAACTCGGCAGCCCTACTTTCAGACTGGGGTGCTCTACTGCCTAGACAAGCTTCCCAATCATGCCAGATCCACAACCGGACAAATCTTTCGAGCTTTAAGTTTTTCAAATTGTTCAAGAGACTCGCCGTTCGTCATGCGTTGCACGTCTTCAGTCCTCTTGTTCAAAACGGGATTCAGTTCTCTTTGTTTGACAGGACCTGTATTCCCTTTTCTAGCGACTCCTGTCACCTTCGATAAAACTTGCGTTATCCAGGAGCCAAGTGAAATTGAATCGGTGGGTGCCAAAAGCTCTGCACTCTCGCGACCCACAATTCCCGAGATTATGACAGAGTCACAGACAACGTAAACGGGCACTTCAATTTCTAGGGTCGTTCCGTAAAAATCATATCCAGTGTTCGCATAATCCTACTCATCACCTGAAACATTCTTGCAGACCTGCTGTTTCCAGTGTTCAACATGATCACGGACAAGTTTGACGGGAATGACGTCACTTCGGCCGCCACCGCCACGCCATGGGAGGAGCGCCGCGATGTCGCGTACTTCGTGGGGCATCTTACGGGGCAGCCGCAAACGCAAGCCTACGGATCGCACCTCATAAACCCGCGCCTGCGCGCAGCAGAGATCGCTCTTGAACGGTGAGGCGCCGATGACAGTGTTGTCGAATGACTTTTGGAGTTACGGTGGGGGTTGGATCGTTAGTGGGAGTATGATGGAAGGATTGTTTCTTTGCGAGCTGGAGTTTCGTATGTGGAAAACGGGCCCTTCAACCCTGCCTTACTGTCGTGGAATAGTAGATACCGTCGAGGCCAGCACGAGGACTTCTTTAAAAAGCGACGACAAATTCTGAGTTGTACGTCATCTTGACATTCTGGGCATTTTGTTTTAGGTTCAGTGCCGTGTCAATGATAAATTGGACGGACAATGTGGGGAGGTTCGAGAAAATGAAAAATAAGAAGGGAACTGGCTCGGCGGTTCGTCCTCAGCTTTCGTGGGCTCCCATAGCCGACTTAGAAGACGGCACAAGCTGGTGCAGTCCTTCCAGGTTTTAATTTTAAATGGCCCCTCTAATCGGAGCACAGGCACTGGAGAATCTCGCTCAAAATCGTCGATTATCCCTCGTAATTCGCCCATTTTATCACATGCAGTGGGGTTCTCATCAATTGTCCGTTTCAAACCGAGAGTAGGGTTCGCTGTTTGAATTGCCCGCTCGTCACGTGGAGTCAGTTTCAGTTCATGCTTTCTTCAACAAGCGTGTCAGCACAACCCGGTTCCCAAGTCTGTCTTGCGAGTTGCGCCGCACTCAGAGCGACACTCTCAGAGCTTATCGAAAGGCACAGAGCACCAGACATTCACAACTTGACACTAATCTCGCTCCTCCATCTTCAGGCCTGACCTCCTGGACGTTAGTGTCACCGTCTCCGAGGACCAAGGCAAGGATCACCCCGAGTACATCAAGGAGTTGCTGGATCGGGGAGTTGTTCAAAAGGAGTACAAGCAGGATCAAAGGGGTGCCGCGAAATACGTCATCGACCTGCCGGGAAATTCGGCGGCTTGGCGATTAGGGAGCCGATTGGGGGATGGCGCGGTCACTCTCAAGAGCCTAACAGCCTGGAACGAGTAAGGTCCAATTCTATTCTTTTCCCTTTTTATGGTCTGTTACTTTTCTTGCCCCGTGCACAGATGAGGAAGAATCCCGGTTGTTTTCTCTTATCTGCCCTCAGGCCGAACCCAAGGTACTGATCCTGAACGGTTTTGCCCGGAGTTTACTTCACGAGTATCCAACTGGGGAAGGTGAACCTTGCAGGGGTTTTCGATGGTAATCCGACTCCCTTATGAGCTCAGTTGGACCGGCACTTCGAGGCTGCCCAGTAGCAATTCCCAGCTTCCCAATAGGCATATCCGGTTATGTTCATTCTGGCAGATTTGCACTTTCTGATTGCGGATTCCGGAATCTCTACTTTGGACGAAATGTCTTGACTGTTGCTGAAGCTCAATCTTTGAGAGTCGTGGGCACGTGGTGGAGGCCGTTCTGAGGTTTTCTCGTTCCGCGTACGCGTTCCGTGGCGGAGACTGGCGGAGGGGCCATTGTAATCAGAGCGGAAACAAGCGTCGGTCCTCACGCCTCAGAACCTGTCTCAGCGCTGCCGAGGAAGACGCAACAAGTGGCCAGAGCCTTTGAATGAAAGGGAGACTTTTGAACGGTTTCCGCTCCTTCTCGACAAACATTTATTTGCTGCCTAAACAATATGGCAAATAAACTGGTATCTTTCAAGTGTTGATGCGGCGAGGGAGCGGGCCAGAAGTCACGTGTCGGTCTGCAAACTAGCAGAAGGAATGGCTGGCCCGGAATCGACTCTCGTTTTCGTGGAGTGCTGTCGAACCAGCTGTACCAGAGTTCCCCTATGAAGTCCTGGTCTAGCTTGGGTTCTCCGATTCGATGTCTCGGTCGTTTTTCGGGCTGAACCTTCGGTAATTGGTGCTTTTTTCGTCGTCTGTTCGACTGCGACTAGGATATCCTTCTTGTCCCCTCCTGCTTCCACGACTCACGATTGTAATTGAACAATAAGCGATGCCTGGCGCTGTCAACGGATAGTGTCAATCTCAGACCACTCGTATCAATGGGTGAATAGATCAACACTTTTTGGTCGCTTCAAATGCGCCTCGATTTCGAAGCCAGCCATTGAAGCCATCGAAGCCAGCCGTTCCTTCGTAATAACCAATTTGAACATTGGGAATATTTTTGCCGTTGTAGGACCAAATTGAACGAGGCTGTTTGTTAAGCTGACTTTACTCATATACAACAAACCCGAAGTCGCGTTGAATCTCGGGAAATATACGAGCTTCGAGCGATGGCTGATGGATACGCCTGAATCGGTCGTATGAGACAATCAAAACCGAGAGAAGAACTGTTTGACGAGAAGCGATCCCAACCTTTCTGCAGATTCTGGCACTACCTGTTGGAGCCTGGCAAGAACATACTAATGATTGGGGAGTGGCCCGACGATCTCGTCGAGAAAGTCGAGGCGGCAAAGAAACACGACTCCGAGATGCGGTGCGTCGCACGCGCCGCTCAAGTGGTCGCTTTCACACGGCTCCGGCAAGAAGATCTCCTATGTTGGACCGCCCTCAATCTGCACCACTTGTCAACTAAGTACGCTTTTACGCCCAACCTTACAATTTCCGAGTGGCATGAGATTCCGGTGGAGCATAGAGACCCCGAGAAGTGCCGTTGCACGACGTAAGGTATTGCAGCGATGGCGCTTGATCCTGGCCGTTGAAGGTGTAACGCAAACGGTTCCGCCCCTGGTATGGAGCCAACTCTTGCGGGTCCCTATCATTGGGACTCGCAGCTAGACAGCACAAGCAGAGTAGGACTGTGTAGAAACTAGACAAGAAAAGCTACAGAGCACGACGGTTATCGAACAATCACGAGGTAGACATGCACGCGATCGCTTGTGTTTCAGTTACTAAATGGAGTGAATGCCCACTTTGCGTGGCGATTGTGTAATTGGGGAGAGAATAGGCGTTTGGTCCTTCAGTAGCTACGGCACAATATAAAGGTAACGCTGTCCGCTGCAGAGGGCTCGCTGCGCTTGCGCGGGGCCAGAGTCGGGTGCACCTTCAAGAGAGATCCAATTGGTGAAAGTTAGAGTGTGGGCTGCATTCAACGTGCATTAAATGCAAGATCTGAAAGAACGTCTTAGTGCGGCGTTTTAGTCATAGCCTGAGAGATTCTAACTCGCTTCTTGGAGAGCGTCCAATCTGAAATGCTTCATTAGTAGTAGCAAGAGACACAGATACCAGAGCGTTTGCGTAGAATATTTCTGCAAGAGGCGTAGATACCAGAGCGTTTGCGTACAATATTTCTGCAAGAGGCAATGATAGATACCAGAGCGTTTGCGTAGATCAGTGACCAAGGTCCCTTAAGGCAGGCGCTTTCTCAACATTCAGATCAGATGCAAGCGGCCGGTCCAACCCAAGTGCGTTTGAGGTTCCCAAATGGTCCATATGCACGCATACACCTAGCTAGGCGTGACATCTGAATTGGCTGTGAGAACGGCTTGCCTGGGCAGAAAACCAAGTTAGGTACGCAAAGCTTATGCACGTCCTTTTCATCGTTTATTGCAACATGGTCATGTATATTCCAACGTGCATCAATGGACGCCTCACTTGAATCGCATGGCACAAGGCGCCTCAGAGCACAATATGTGTCGATTGGCAACGTGAATCTAGGATTAATTTGGACCTGCAATTGCCATGTTTGGCACGTACATGATGCATAGTACGCTGCGCACATGCATGTGAGTGCTGTACTTAGTGACATAGTGCACATGACGGTGGTGATCAAAATGATACGATCAGAAGTGCATTCGAGACGTACAACTATTGGGTTGATACTGTGCAGAACATGGGCCGGCCGCCCCCCAAAATAGAGAAGGTTGCATCAATTAACGACGGCCGGCTGACTATGATGGATAGCCGGCACCGCTGCAGCGCGAGCACATGGGCATGTTTCACTAGTGCGTAGCAAGAGATGCAGCGCCCACATGAAACGATTGCGACCACGTAGGACTCAAGCCACTGGCACGCGTATCCACTCCGTCAGTGACAAATGGCGGTCTGCTTCCAGGGGTCAGGCGTCGTTCGGGCGTCTCCTTTCCTTGTCTACCAAACTGTCGCTAAGCGTCTCTATTCGGATGGGTGCCCTTGACTTCCCATCACGCTTAAACCTGTAAAACTTTTAAGTGACTGGACACACCTTGAACTTACCCTTGACTTCCTGTCACGCTTCTAATACTCGCAAATAACTGGCCTACCCGCTAGGCACCACGTGCACGACACTGTGAGCGATCTATGACCGGATATACCATCCTTCAACAACCGCCTAGGAAAAGAGGTTGCGAGACTATACAACCACTAAAGTCGATACGAAGAGACATCACGAGACTGATTACAGCCTTGAGATCTGCAGCGGCAAAAGCTCAACCTCCTCCGCCCCTTCCCCGGCCTCCCCCCCGACCACTCCCGTGCAGTGCTCCAGCTTCTCCACATACGCCCGGGTGATTTCTCCGGCCGCTCTAGTTCCCGAGGCATATGCCCCGTGGACAGTGCCCGGGAAAGACCGACTGGTGGCCTCGCCCGCAAAGAAAAGGCGCCCGGTGGACTTCGCCAGGCGGTCGTAAATCTCCATGTTAGAGCCGACGATCTCGTATGAGTAGGCGCCCAGGGTGTTGGGGTCTTTGCCCCAGTGGCTCAAAATGGCTTTCAGCTGCACAGACGAAACGAGAAGTGACGTTTGCGAGGCGATTCATTGCTGGAAGGCCGGGTTGAACCTTGGTTAAGACAGCTTGGCTGAAGGGCAGAACACCCAAAGGTGGAGCAAAGCTTCGGCAAACGAGAGGGGTGAAGCAGCTTCACCGGACAGGAGAACACCAAGGGTTGGACCAAACAGTGTTAGCAAACAAGGAACGGAACGTCACTCCCCGACCCTGACCGATCTCAGAACGGTCTGCCAGTGCAAGTATCGACAAACTCGTGAAGGCACTGATGGCATCTGCGAACCACTGTCAGGGGCGATCCGACCACTGTTACCTAAGCACGATTACGGCAATGACGAGAATAAAGGTTGATTCAAGTGCACCACCCACCGGCTTGACTGCGGCCGCGTGCGGCAGGATGCTCCGCAGCTCTTTCAACGCAAACTCGATGACGTCATCGTCCGCCATCTTGTCCAGGTCGGTCGATAGGCTGCCCGCCGGCATATATACGAGCACGGGGTTCCCCGTCGCCTTATGCAGGTTCAGGAAGTAGCTGCAGCCGTAGGAGGTGTCGTCAACAGCGCCCAGAAAGTCGACGTTGGGCCAGAACGAGTACTCAAAGAGGAAGGCGACCTGCAAGGGGAGGAAAAACGCTCAGAGGTCGCCCCACAAAAAGAAATGAGTGGGGGATTGGACAAAGCGGGGCCGGGCAGTGTTTGGTGTGGACGGACATTGAAGAGGCGCCCGGTTCCCATCGAGTTGAGCGCGCCTTTTCTGGTACGTTTTCTTTCTTCAGAAAGTTGGAGGCTCAAAGGCCGATACTGCCGTTTGGAAGAAAACGAGCTTCCACATACATTCCACCTTCTTCACATATCTTCTTGTTTGGAGGCTCTGCCCTTTTGACATCAATTGAAAGGTGACAACAGAATAAAACAACTGGCACGACAGTACCTCTGTAAAGGGCTCCTGGGACCCCCATCCTCCCATCAAGTATTGGTTGCAAGTAGCATCCCCGGCTGGTTGCGTCAAAGTTGCCCATCCCGTTTCAATCCTCTGATTTTTGTCCACAATCTTGGCCTGTCCAATGCGTTTTTCCAAGATCGATCGGACGGCCTGTCCAATGCGTTTTTCCAAGATCGATCGGACGGCCAAAGACCGACCGAGACCGAGACCAAGACCGAGACCAAGACCGAGACCAAACTCTAAACATCCGGAAACAATGGTCAGTTCGACACTAACAGCGGTAAGCATAAGAAGAAAAGATAAAGGAAGTTCTGCCGCACCTTGTTCTCATGGCCCACTCCCAGACCGTCGATCGCGGACTGCTTCCACTCGGGCAGCTTGGGCGTAAACTGAATGGTTCCGGTTTTGAGCACGCCCAGCGGCGCCGCCATGACTAGCGCGTCTGCCCGGAACACCGCGCCGTTTTCGCATGTGACTTGGACGCCCGAAGTGCCGTGACGGATGTGGCTGACTCTGCACATGATGGAGAAATTGCACCTTTGAGATGTTGAGAGCGGCAAGACTTGACACATGGCGTGAAGTATGTGGCTCGCTCTGGATATATAGATATGAAACGTTTGACGTACCGGGGAGCAGCAAGACTTGACACGTGGCGCTTGAACGTGCTGCCTGCAAAATTGTGGCTCACTCTACAAATGGGGAATAAATGTACCTTTGAGATACGGGAGATATAAATCTTTGAGGTTACCGTGTTTTCGTGACGAATGTAGTCTACTATGCGAATGAAGATACTCCATCTTTTGAGATACTAGAAACGGCACAACGTAACACTTGCGGGATGACCGTGTTTCAAAATTATACGTGTAGCTCGAACAGTGAGAGCTATGGGGATGTACAGGTATCGTCTACAACCGAGCCAACCCCTTACGAACCACAGCCGAACCCGTCTGACACACGGCAGAATGTCTGGGGACCAGGCCAACCTTCCCGGACTTGGACAAACGTCCAAACCATAACCAAACCCGTCCACCCACTCTCATCTATACAGTGGTCAAACCTGTCCAAGATCACAGGCAAACCACGGGCAAACCCGTCCAAACGTCTGCTTGGACTGTCCGCGTTCTCACCTGTGGCGCAGGCGCACGTCCAGATCGCTGGCGAGCGCGCCAACCACCGGAGCGTATCCGCGGACCATCAGCCCGTGACCCCCCTCGAGAAGATCTTCCTGGTCCCAGTTTCGTAACGACAGGTTAACCAGGTCGGCCGCAAACCAGCCCTCCATGCGGCAGATGTACCACTGAAGGACCCGGTTAGCGACCCCGGTTAGCACTAACTCGGGGCGGCGGGTTAGGGCTGACTGGAGGGCGAGCTCCATGGGCATGTCTTCGGTGGGGGGGAGCTCGCTGCGGATTGCTTTGGTCTGCGAAAAAGGGGGGGTTGATTGATCAAAGTCAACCAGGAAGTGCGAAAGTAGGTTATCAAATTGCACAGTCAGTTGACAGGTGGATTGAAAGAACAAGAGCCTTTGATTCAACAAGGTGAAAGAACACGAGGGATAAGAGCGAAAATGCCCACCTCTTTCAGCATCTCTTCAAAGACCTCCCCCACAGCTGCAACTAGGTCGGGGTCAACCGACTTGCCGTCGTCGTAGAGGCGGTAGCTGCAGTGAACGTTTCGTAAGAGCTGGCCTTCTTTGCAGTGAAAATTCGAAATTTCTCTACTTGAAAAGCAAGAGCACAAGTGGAGCGGCACATGCGATTTGAAGGAGGCCGCCAAAACTGAGTAGCTGAAGCCAATTGCTTCAAATGGAACCAATTGCATAGCGCTAAACGAGCAGAGTTTTAGATAGACGTTGCAATTGCGAAGCATTCTGCGGACCGTAACTTCTAACCAACTCGCAGGACAAGGCGGCTGGTCTTTGGTGCACGGAGTTGCATATCTGACAAAGCCACCTAGCAACCAAGCAATCGATCTCCGTCTCATTGCGTCATTCATTGCATCGACCCCGCAACGTATGCCTTCTTCGAAAAAAGGAAGACCACTGTCAGATAATATGCAAACTTGCGCACCATGACGCTAAAATACCGACGTCAGTCTTTTTCATAAAATAAAAAACCGTAAAATTGAAACCGTTTGCACAAATTTCGTCGAAAGATGGAAGCTCACCTCTCGAGGTCGTGATCGAACAGCACCGAATTGTCCCCGCTCGTCCGGTACAGCGGCAGCTGCAAGATTCGGACGAGCGTGGACAGGGGGTTGACGTCCGCAACGCCGTGCAGCCTGGACCAAAATGGACACCACGTCAGTCTTTGATAATTGGCAAACGGCTTCAGCTTGCAGGGCAAGAATATTGTCAAATAGTCGGAACAAGGATGAGAGCAGGTGGAAGCTTAAGTATGGGGACCCTTTGATTGGGTGCCAAGTTAAATGGTGCAGCTGTGCGACGGCGGAGACCCATGTGGCCTGCGTCTAGGAGACCCATGCTTCTAGTCGCCTTAAGAGCATTGCTAAGCGTCTACTCTAAAACGAAATAAGCCATCGAGACAAGATGGCTTTGAGAGAAGATCATGCTAGCGGCCCCTCGTTACTCTCCTTCTAAGGCCTGTGCTGCTCTGCAGACTAACCTTAACAGTCTAACATGGGGTGAAACATCCAAAACAGACAGGAACAGAAAAGACGAAAACTGAAGACTCAAAAACGGCTCCTTACCATGAGGCGCCCATATCCACTGGTACGCCGAAGCTGTAGTCGGTGTGAACGCGCCCCCCGACCCTGTCTCGGGACTCGAGCACGACCACTTTGAAGGACTCTGCCTGGAGGGCCTTAGCCGCAGCCAGGCCGGCAACCCCGGCGCCCACAACGATTGCTGTGGGGGTGACACCTGGCAGCGCACGGTCGCGCTTGAGAGCTGCTGGAGAAGGAAAGCAGAAGTGGGTTAGGGGGAACTGTGCGGAGGAAAAGGCATTGAATGGGAGATGCGGGTTTGGGGTCTTCGGAAGGCAGTTGATAGTGAATGGACATGCCTGAGAGTGCTGACAGGAGGACACAGAGAAATGGTGAGATTGCCGGTTTGCTTGGAACGTGAGGGTCTGGACTGGTCTGAAGGCACAAGGCAGCAACGAATCGCGTATGAAACTCAATGAGAGAAGTGGGAGAAGGGGGAGGTAGAGGAACATGGGAATACGGGGGATGAGGAAATGTCTATGTTGTCTGGGTAGCTTTGACAAGGTGGGTCTTTTTTGAAATTTCAACTCGCTTGACAAAACTTTTGGACTTGCTTTGGGGTGCCTTCACAAGTTGCCAAAGACCCGAAACCTGGATGAACACCTCATCAAATCAACAACATGGATTGCATCAAACTGCCCGATGGGTCTGTTCAATAATTCAGCTTCCTTTAACTGATTGCAATGAAAAGTGCCCTTCCAATTCCGCGCAGAAACAACGTGGAAGCTGCAGCACAAACCTGCCTCTGTGTAACACTTGAATCGGTCCAGGATGCTTGTGACTTGCTCAAGAAGAATGGAAATCCGTCTACTTTTTTCCATCATATCTAGAATGCTCACAAGAGAGTCTTCCTTCCCTGTATCCTTGCATCCCTCAGATCGTATTGCAGGTCAGACTTGATGCGTGATTGGGGGCTCCGTAATCCACACAGGATTAAAGGACCAAACTCGCAATTTAGAGTGCAAAAGATAAAATGAAAGAAGACAGCTCAACATGACAGCAACCATGCCTTTGGCTATATTTGTAAACCTTTCATGAAGGGGCAATGCTCCGAGCTAAACCAGGACAGAAGGAGGCTCTTACACGGATTGGCAGCCCAGGAGTAACAACTGCTTAGATTGGATCAATCAAGAAAACTGCTGGCATGTCAACTTGGGGATGATGTTTATGACCGAGGAGCTACTCATCATTTCACCTCCGTGCAATGAAAGTTGAGCCAAACATTATGCGGACTCAAGTACAGCATTGGTTCCACCAAGCACAACCCATCCTTCAAGGATGACCCACTAAACTGCCAAGAAGTGCCCTGCTCCTTTGCAGAAGAGCAGTGGCACCTAGATCTGAACCATTTTATTGCCATCATATTTGAACATCTTGAGCAGGCATGAAAAGAACAGTGCTAATTAGCCCAACGCAAAAGTTGGCCTAAGACACTCGATGTTTACAGGGACCCACCAAGACAAAGTTGCTCAAAATGCCAGATGAAGTCACAGTTTCTGCTCTTCAAAGGCAGAAAACCATAAGAAGATTCAAAGTTTAGTGCCAACCACAAATTGCCCGCCACAATCTTCCATCTGAAAAACAGTCAAGAATTGCCAATCGCAAACGAAAGCACACTGACGCTCCGATACCAGATCTTTCATGGAATCAAGAAGCATGACAGCCTTGGCAGGAAGACCCACACCCAGCGTGCTCACCCAGGGAGTCTGTCGTCAGGGGATCTAGCGCATTGGGCGCCATTTTCGTGAGGTATCGTCTCTCCGTTGGTTTTGCAACGGTCACGACTACACAGGAGCCTCGAGGCTCTCGTCCAGCGGCCTGCGGTGTGATCAGGTGCAGCGTAAGCTGCCAGGGTTCCTGCTCCAAGGGTTTCCGTCATCAGCGTGCGGTGGGGGTGGGGGCTAGCCGCCCGCCCGATGTGTTGAGGAGGCAAAAGAGGGAGGGAAACAGCTGGGAGGTGGCTGAAAGCAGGGCTAGTGGATCAGCTTGGTGTTTGGTTTGAGCTTCGGCTAGCTCGTGGCTGGAGCTTGGATTTAGAAGGGGGAGCTTTGCGCAATGCACGAGAATTGCTATGTCAAGCAGCAAGGTGCACGAAATTCTTGAAAGCAGACGTCAGCTTTCACTCAGAGTTAATACACTGGCACTGATACAGTCGAAGTCACAGTCACAGCGCCTGGGCTGAGGAGATCAATTCTTCAAGCGCGTGACGCGTGGCATAGATTGAGCCCTCGAAACGAAGCCGACGGCTAGAACGATCTGTTGGGGCCATAAATATCAAAATCCGCTGGCCAGTGCTTGAAGTTGGATTACCAGTACCAAAGCTAATACCGTCCAGGTTACCGTACCAATTGTCCGGTTGGGCAGATTTTTGCCCAATAATTAATTTCGTATCTCAGGGATTTTGGGCAGCTTCATTTATGCATTTATTTTGATTTTTTAACGGAGCAAAATGATCTGCAAATCCTTGATTGGAATTTATTTTCAATTCAGATTTTTGGGCAAGTCAAAAAATATTTAATTGTTGCCCAACCGGACAATTGGTACGGTATTGTAAAACGCGCTAATATGTACCAGATTAAATACTCATGAAACGGTCTTGCCTCTGGGCACTTGTGATTCTACGGCCCTTGGCGCGCCGGAACCTGGAGGAAAAAACGCGCTATAGCCCGAAAGTCGTCTGCATAGCTTATGAATGCCAGTCCTCAGCCAGCTGTGGTTGCGTGAAGCCGCTTTCATGATTTCGTCGCCACTGGAAAGTTTGCGAATAGAATTTGGGAGAATCGGACGCGGACAGCCTGTTCGAACACTAGAAAGTGCTCGGGTAGTAGGAAGAATACACCAGAACCCTAAGGTCAGTGGCTTAGCCGTTAGTAGGAACCCTAATCGTAGGGCAGTCACAGGGTAGGGGCGTAACCCTAACAAACCGTCACAGGGAAGTGGCGTAACCCTAACATACCGTCACTGCTTTTTGACTTAACCCTAAGTCACCACGAGTGCCCGGTTGCTTCTGCGGCTAGGTACCGCGCTAGAAGCGACGGTGCATACCGTGCGCTGCCATATTTGGTCCGGTACCGTCCGCATCCGATTCTCCCAAATTCTATTCGCAAACTTTGTACGTTTTGCGGCACTGGCACCAGCCAAACAACGTCAATGTGATCTGGCACAGCGGCGCAGAGGTACAACTTCCAAGACAGCGCCTGTTGCATTCATTGGCTCCCTGATATTGGTCCTTGTTGCAATGGAGACGTCTTCTGACTGTGAAGCAATGGACCCTGATGCTCTGCAGGCGGCAGAGCGCTTCTTTGATGCTGCACCACCGCTTTCTGGGGAAAGCGATGTCATTGCACAGCTCAAAGCCTTTGTTTACAAGCAAAACCGCTCAGGTATGGCCCTGCAAATATGGAACCAGCTGCAAATGCTGCGATTGTCTTACAATTGTCTTGGTTACTTAGCTGGGCAAATTCGAGTCCAACTCTGCTGCCCTGATTGGGGAAGAGTGTCTGAATAGGTGCCATAGTACAATTTGACTTATGGAGGCAAAATCGATCTGTTGGTGGTACGGGTGCGCTTCTGATCTAAATCATCAAATTCAACCTGCAAACTTTTCCAGGATGAAAAGTCTGTAAAGTTCGTTTGAAACCGAACCGCGAACGAGTCACTCACTCGCAGTTGCCGAAGCTCAGCTGAGAGATCTAACGCAAGGCGGCAAGTCCATTGCTCAACAAATAAACATCAGCAACGTATTGCAGAGAAAGGGCGGCCCATTGTCTGTGTCACTTCGGGGGGCACCACTGTCCCCCTGGAAAGGCGCTGCGTCAGATTCATTGACAACTTCAGCGCAGGGAACCGTGGGGCAGCATCCACCGAGTCAGTTTTCCCCCAATTACTCATTTTTCAACGGCTGTTTGGAAACTGGAAAGAAATTGTTGGCGGCCCCCACTTATGCAAATTTGAGCTGGTCGGGGGCAGATGTCGGCGCGATTGGAGGGCTTCACCCTCTTTGTAGTTGCCCCTGTGCTCTGACTGTGACCTGTGGTTACAAATAATCAATTCAGGCAGATCATAGTGGCACCGCCCCAAAGGCTTACACATCTGCCAGAGTGTTTTGATCGATATGCGTGACAAGCCCGCCTTCAATAGTATCTTAACAGTCCTGGTGAAGTTGAGAAAGAAGGATTACCCATGGTGCTTGAAGACGACATGTCAAGCTCAGTTGAGAGAGCGCTACCAAAGTGGCTCATTGCTAAAGCGGCTCTTCGGGTGCTTCAAAACCTGAAAGCAGTTCGTTCTTGTTGCAGGTTTTTCTTGAAGTCAGGTTATGCTGTCATCTTTCTGAGCCGCACGTAAGGCAGGCTCCCATCTCTCATCCCTTCCTAACTTCTCAGCGGACGCAATGAGAATCTTCTGAGCTGCGACACTGCATGCAACCTGATGAGTCTTACCATGGGCTGATCAAATTCCTGCCTTCCTCCGTAATTGGAAGTGTCTTGTGGCCATTCCTGCAAATCGGTTGATGCCTTCCGTTAAAGCTAAACCCAGAGAGACCCTGTGCGACAAGCTCTGAACCAGCTTAATTTGTGAGTTAAGCGAGGCACTCACCTTGGCTTCAATACTTTGCGCAGGGGTTCTGTACAGCCCTTCTGTCGGGACCTCCCCGAGCGGCCCCTTCTTGACTGCCTTGAGACGGCGCCGGATGGCTCCTTACATGGTCAGTGTTTCCGGGTGTGCTTTTCGTTTGTGCTCTCTGTTGCGTTGTTTGATGATTCCTCTATCTTTCAAGTTTGACGTACACACCGGGATCAAACTTCCTGTTCGTCCGTTGCTGTTTTCACCTTGCTATCAAGACTTCAGGGTGCAGTCTCAATAGCTGTACGCCACATTTTCAACCGGTTGCGCCGAATCCTTGCATTGGCTAAGCCAACTTCGGGTTGGGCGGGTGATACCCCCCAATGGACGTTTTATGTTCTTGCGGGAGTCGCACTTCGCAGGAAGGACAGGCAATACTGTCGGCGAAATTCGTTAAGAAGCATCCGTCCCGGTTCTGATTTTCCGGAGGGCACTCTCAAGGGTTCTCAAGACACATCATTCTACTCTGGCCAGATTTAAGTCAATGATTGAGGAATCCCCCATTGGAAGTCTGCTTTTGGGACGCTCGTAGCCCTTTCGAAATGTGAAGGAAGGATTCAGTGACGAGGAGAAGTGCGCTTAATCCTTCAGCATCCTTTGTCGATCTCGAAAAAGTCGTTTGGGTGGGGAGGGCTTGACTTTAGTGTATCTGGTTGAAGCAACCGAAGCTTGGTGTTAAGGCTTCGGCAGCCATTATTATTATGTCGTTGGTTGATTACGACTTTCCAAGCTGCCAAGCCCAGAGCAAACAACGAAAACTAGTGCCCTTTGGTTGACGCCTCGCCAGTGTTCTCGCAGCTCGGCCCCAGTACGAGCAGACAGTTCTCTCCGCATTAAAAGCTCACAGCACGGTTAGTTCCAAAGAAGTTGTTTTCTTCCCTCTTGGCGTCAAACATGTTCCGCGATGTCCACTTTTATGTGCGGATTGTTCAACCTAACATTTCCGTTTGTAGTGCACAAATGTTGTAGCTCGTATGCACTTTGTTAAGATCATTGAACAACTTCATGCACTGCGTCAAGGAAGAGTACCTCACTCGAGGCTGTGATGCTAGTCGAATATGCCAGTCCTGGTATTGGTCAGAAGGGTCCAGAGTGGAGCAAGACTCCGTTGTAGTCCGCGTCCGATCGCAACATTACTGTCTCAACGCTAGATTGACTTTGAGATTAATATAAGCGTACAATCGGTCGAGGTCTGGTCGTTCCTTCAGGAAAAACCAATAGAAAACCACTCAATGAGGCACTGCTTCCGCAATATAATTGTCATTCTAACGTTGTCGACTACTGGCGGGCCAACGCGAACTGATCACAAAACCATTGCTGATCTGCTCCGAGTGAAATCGTGCGCTTATCTTTGTGTCAAATGTCCATTCAACACTTTCTCAACATGCAGAAAGTCGCACGGAAGAAGCGCTGACTATGTGTTCCCTCCACTGATATGACGACAGGTCGTTGCTGACGGGACGCTTCTCCACCTCCATTTCACCACCCTCTTCGAGTATCTGCAAGTAAGTGCTCATAACCATTTTTAGCAGGGGGCTTGCGTCTCTTTCGTCCGTCGATTCGGTGTTCGTGGCTTTGGTCTCTGGAAGCTCGGACGTGGCTACCATTCATCGACTCCAAGATGAACTCATGGTTGATTACAGCGTCTGTGAGCCAATTCATAAGCGCAACCCCTTCACGGTTGTTCAGTGAAGAAACGCTTCGCCGGATCCTTGCAATGTCCGTCCCCGAGCTGCTGTTTACGCATGGGGCCCTAGGTTTTGTTTGGGAACGGGTCACGGGTGGTGGTCTTTCCTACACCCACTGACGTCAATATGGCATGAGTTGCACGTGTTTGGAGCATGTGCCCAACTGTACTCGTTCAGAAGATTTTACGGAGAACACGATCTGTAAATTCTGCTGATAGGATCATAAGCGAGCGAAAATTTGTCCGTTGGACCTCGGTTTCTCGTTCTTCCTTTGTTTCGCCTCCTCGTCTGTGACATTCAATCGGTGCCTTCGACGGAAAGAGAAGATTGTCTCCCATAGCCACCCCTCGTCAGCATTGCGCAGCCATACTTCCGGCCGAGGGCAATGAAGCCTCTGGTTTCTTGTGTTCTCAAGTGCATTCCATAACCGCAGAAACGCATTGTCACGACCTTGAGACGCAAGGCTCGCCACCGTCTTCTGAAACTCACTCTTGACAAAAAGCTTCCCAGGTGAGGACCGATGGCGTGGAACCATCTCGCCGAGCTTACCTGACGTGAGCTGACGTCGTTTGCAGATGCTGGGGTTGGTCGGGTCGTTGCTAGAAGGCTTCGGGAAGCGCGCCTTCTTTTACCTGGCGGCCGCAGTGTCTGACTTTTACGTTCCCTGGGAGACGATGGTAAGCCCGCCGACAAACTTTCCTGAGAAACTTTGGAATTTGCGGTTCTTTTCATTGGCAGACGATGGTAAAAGCGCGGCTAAGTTTCCTTGGGAACGCACGCTTCCAATTTTGTGCTTTTCTTCATGGGGAGACAATGGTAGAACCGCGGCTAAAGCTCCCGGAGAATGCACGCTTCGCAATTTGCGCTTCTTCATTCGCGGAGCCGATGATAAGCCCGCGGCTACGAGTCCGTAGGAACGCGCGCTCCGAAGTCTTCGCTGCTTCTTCTTGAATCATTCTACGCGTATGACTTCCCGAACTCTTAAGACGGTAATTGGGTCTGACAAAGCCCAGACGGAAAATCGTCAAATGTGCAGGAGGCACCCAGCAGTCTCCTTCAGAGACCGGCCTGGAACTGAGATTTCTATGCCGGGGAGGCACACAACCTAACAACTGAGTCTTTTCGTCTACAAGTACCCTTTTGAGCAAGCTATACTTTTCACGACCAACACCCGTGAACCCTTGAACTTCGCAGCACGAGCACAAGATTCAGTCTGCGGGCGGGCCCCTCGCCATGGAGCTGTGCAACGTGCCGAAGATGATCCCCCTGCTGCGGCGGCGCTGGGCGCCCGAGGCGTTTGTCGTCTCCTTCAAGGCAAGCGCGCCGTGTTCTGAAACCCCTCTTATGCGTTGCAGTATGATGTCGCATTTCCACCTTTGCACGGATGCACAGCTTTATAGTCGACGGCAGCAATGTTTGCGCTGCGATAAGGCCGGAAGGGAGTTGCCCATTCTGTTAGGTTGAGCACAGCCTCTCTGCCGCAAGGGCGCGCGACTATGAAAGACGCCTGCTCGAAACCCGTTGTCCGTCTCAAGTATCAGTTCTCTGATCTTTCTATTATAGTTCCACGGTTTCCAACGCAACGTGCTTAAAAGTTGGAATCCAACATTCTCGCCGTCTTCTTGCAGTTGGAGACGGACATGGGCATGCTGATGCAAAAAGCGAAAGGGGCGCTCCTTAAGAATGGCGTGCATGCCGTTGTGGCAAACGAGTTGCACACGAGGAAGGATAAGGTGAGGAGTTGGTACCTTTGTTTGCAGCAACACAAGTTTGGAGGAGAGGGTTAGAGCAAGCGTTATTTTCAGACGTTTGATAACACTTGCGATTTTAGGGTGTGCATGGACCCGCGCTACGCCAATAGCGGTTTCAACTAAGGACCATGCTCACGCGCCGTGACGGGTTGGAGGTCCTCCGCTTTTGGAGAGCCTTGTTAAAGGAGACCCTGAAGGCCTTAACAGAGGTGAAGTGGGCTCCGTCAAGGGACGCAGCCACAGAGCTGCCGTCTGATGCGTCGAGATTCGTCGGCTAAGCAGCCGCTTGGACGCTTAGAAAGGACAGTCGTTAGCTGACCTACTCGCGAGAGCAGAAGAAAATGCGTGTTGGGAACTAATGTCAGAAACGTGAGATCGGCATGTGGGATTATTGACCGTTGCGGTTGCAGTGCAACACCCCACTCTATCAGTGTACACGACCTGTAAGAAAACCACTTGAGCTTGGTTTGAATGGTCTGCACATCCTTTTTCCGACCATCTGTGGCGCTTCACCATGGTCCTTTCGGTGCCACCGAAGTGGTCCGGTGCGTGGTCTCTCTTGTCAATCCTTGTGAAAAGACACGTCAATTCTGCGTCAGCCCTTGATTCCCTGAGATGTGAACGGACAGCAACCAGTTGACCAGTATGCTGTTCGTACTGTGCAGGTTGTTATCATTGAGGCTGCGGGAGAGACTGTTCTGACCAGAGACTCGAGGGACGAGGACATCGAGGAAAAGATTGTGGGCCACTTGACTCAACGGCATCGATTGTATTTGAAACACGGCAACGGACGAGAACGAGCTTCAGACCAAGCAGCACCCCAATCTATTTGAGCTATATGGCAACAAAGATTACTAATTCAGGGCAAGTAGTTACTTATGATCAATCTTACTGTGGTCCTTACTGATTAAGGCTTAATCAAAGTGGTAGGTACTGTACGATCGCTCTGGCATCTGCCCTGTTGCGCAAGCTTGAACCTATCCTACATGCGCAAGCGGCCTGTGCACATGTTGCATGTTCTGGTGCATTGTGTGCAGATTCATGCGCACAGGGCGACCCGCGTGTACTATCTGCAGGGATCGTGCCAGACTATGAATCGTGGTACAGTGGAGTACACGCGGTAATCTGGCAGTGACATGTCACGCATGCTGGCGCGGGCCCGCACACATGTCAATGCAGACAAAGATTACTGATCGAGCTATAGCTTTCATTTTACCGCAAAGCCTTGTATGATTCCCACGACATCATGTCGATCAGTAGTAGCCGGGTCATTTGAAAGGTACGTTTAGCAGAACACTTGAGGAAAAATATGCTCCATCTGACCTGTGTAAGCTCACTCTAAGCTGGGTCCGCTTGAGCTGACCTGCCACTATGTGCAAACCGCAACATGGCGTCATGCATGCCCGGTCTCACAACCGGGCCCAAGGGCACTATGATTCAGAAGGAGTTCCGCGGCTACATATGTGCATGAAACTGTACACTCACATACGACAAGCTCCGTCCAGACACATGCAAAGCAATTATCAAAAGCAACAGCTTCCAGCGTCAACTAGTCAGTTCCTTCCCCGGTCTGTGGCTCGGCATCGGGCGGCCCCCGATCTGCAGTCCCGCCTTCATGCGGTGGCTGAAGAACGTCTCCAGCTTGGTCGACGCCTTGTAGTAGATCGTGTCCGGGGCGTTGTAGATGCGCGCGTTGGCAAAGACGCGCCGCATGTCCGAGTTGAAGATCTCGAGCGTGACGTAGTAGGCCTCCCCGTCGAGCCTCCGCGAGATCGTTTTCAGGTCTGGAAAAATTACGATTCTAGTTCATTACCACGAGAGTTGCACAGTTGGTCCGTCTTAGCAGAGCCTCTGGCTGCGATATTCTGTGATAGGCCTTGCTTGATGCAGCAATATGCCATTCAATCACCCGCTGGGTTTGTGTATGTCACCATTGTTGGAATGCTTACAACAGCGCCTTGTCAGGAATCTTGAAACCTGAGTCGAAATGAATGTGGACCTCTGTTCTTCTTGACTTTCCAGCCGCCGCTGACGAGACCGTGTCACAAGTACTTGGTTTGAAAAGAAATAGTACTTGACTTCAACGCGCCTGAGCACATCAGAAGCCGACACGAAATCGAGAAGCGCCCTGGTCAATCGCAGCGCCAGATTAATCTGACATCTACTCGTCAGATTCGCCGGCAATCTCAAACCCCAGAAAGAACAGGTTTCCAATCGACGTCAGCGGACTCACCCATAGGCTCTTTGATGATGTCATAGTAGTCGGGCACGTCGCGCGCATTTACTGGCTCCTTGAAAGGCCACGCGTCGGGGTGATCTCCAACCGCCTGCAGAGACAAGCTTCCGGCTGAATGCATCGGATATGACAATTTGCATGCTCTTTTAGGTTTACCTTACAGGTGTCAGACCGACAACGACGCGAGAGGTGGTGATTGCAGTGCAGAACCATATGACTGGAAGTGTCCAATTTCACTCAAGAGTTTAAGTGCATTGAGATCAGCACACGTGTCACAGGATCTGATATTCAAGCCGTTTTTCCTCCGGAAAAGCAAGACGTCGACGATAGAAGGGTGCCCAAGACTGACGGTATTCGGTAGCTTGATGCCGGCAGGAGAGACTTTCTGGCCTAGAACTTGTCGAGATACTTCCTGCAGAAGCAGGTTCACCTTCTTACCATAGACCACGCCCTTTCCAAATCTAACCGCCGAAAGCCGACAAACCCAAAATCCGAGAAGCTCCAATTCGACGAGATACAGCCCACAAGCGGATTCCAAGGAAAAGTCCCCGCAACCAAGTCAAGCAAACCAGCCCACCACCCCTTCGCACAACTTACCCGCAACACTGAGCGCATGAATGCGTGCAGCGACGATTTGGTGGGGGGACGATCCCCTGCCGTGTTGACCAGCCGTATCCGCAAATGAGAATGGGGGTCCGGCTGCCAGCCCGCCTCCCTGACGCCGGGGATCTCTTCTATACTGATCGCCTTCCGTCCGTACCCCGCCTTTTTCCATGTGTCGAGCCCTGGGTGAACCACGTGCTGGTTGGACAGCTGGCGGACCTTCTCCTCGATCGCCTGCAGTGAAACAGGGTCACGGTTAAGAGGGCCGGAGTAAGGACGTCGTTACATGGGAATTGTGGGACAAGTATTTTCACAAAGGCGGGAACCCTGCGATTCCTACTTGGGCAGAGAAGCCTCGAGTTGCGACGGCCGCTCTCTGACTTCACTTCGAGTTCGCCTTTGTATAACTTTCTCAGGATCTCGATGTAGTAGCATTCGTACGCTCCCCGTTTTCCCCGTTTGATTCCTTTCGGCTTCGGCAATCGTTTGTATCGACCCACGCGTCTGTCAAATCAATTTATCCGCAGTAAAGGCGCCAGCGATGCTGTCACGAGCTTGAGCAGACCGGCTCATCCGCTCACTCCCAATATCTGACCCACGTCATGTAACCCGAGTTCTTCGAAGTTTCGCGCTCTTACTTCCACCCCTTTCAATCCCCTCTGGCTTAGGAAGAGACTATGTGTAAACAAGCAGGGATGCCAAAACTTCTTCACCCAAATTGCTCTTACGTTGGAACCATTTTAACCGTCCATCCAACTGGGTTCACGCAGAAGCTATCTAGCCAGACCGACATCAAACGTGCTGCAAACTTCGCAAACCGAACCATCTGTCGTTCAGACCCGTAAAACAAACCAGCCGGTAATAATATCACCGGTGAAAAACCAGCTTCTAATCCTCCTAAAGGGCCGGCCGGTTGAGGCTACCAACTGTAGCGTTTTGCACCGGCAGCGAACCGTGGGGACAGATTTGATGCAGTTGACAGTTTGGGTGGAGAGCATGTTTGAAGGATAGAACCAACACTCTTTCAAAACGAGGTGCGAAGCACCCGTTGAAGTTTGATTCCTTTATTAGTATGGGGGATAGAATACAAAAGGGGGGGGGTGGGCATTGGGGTCGTGGTGCGCCCACCTGTTTCTGCATGCGAAGCATCTTGGCTAGAGTAGTGTGGGGCAGCGTGGGGTGGATGTGGCACTCCATAAGCGTCCCCCCATCGTAGTCCTTGATGTAGCCGTGCCACCGCTCCCGATCCATTGTGATCTCTTTCGTGAAACCCTGCAAGATGACCGAATGCGGATCAATGAAAATACAAAACCATTGAGGTTGCGCACTTGATATACCCGTGCTGTCGCCGGGCGCTCCTTTGTGAAAGCTTCTGCCTACCAACGCGCTTGAGTCTCTTATCCAAGCTTGCAACCAGGCTTTGCGATAATGCAGTCAATAGTCTTTTCCTATTCGCCATACGAAAATCGTAGTCGACAAGGGTTCTGTGTCAGTCTGTCCGCAAGCAGCGGAGAATTGGTTCAACTCAGACACAGTCCAAGCGAGGTGTTGCAGGGGCTCATTCCGCCCTTCATTGCTAGCTCATGAAAGCCTCACTTCCGAGCCCCGTCGTACTCGAGCAAACTTCCTAATTCTTTGTAGTTGAGCCGAGTCAAAAGGCGGAACGAGACCCTGACGTCCTTCTGTTGACCCGAACGCTGAACCAAGATAATCTTCGAGGTCGAACCCACCTGCTTTCCAAAATAGCCGACGGCGTTGTTGTCCGCATACGTAAGAAAGTACTCTAGGTTGTCGACGTCGCGTGCGTGCTGCTTCAGGTGGTTCATCAGACGGGTCCCGAACCCCTTGACCTGTTCCAAAAGAAAAGCAGAAGTTAACACGAGCAATTGCAATGCAAGGGAAAAGCACACTGCATCTTTGAGGTTTTCAACATCATCCAACGAGCCTTTGAATCTTGCTGTGCTGTTTCACATAGACAGACACGTTAGCGCGCCAACTATGTGGGATGACACCTTGATGATTGCCTGCAGTCTGCTCTTACACCAATCCTCCAGCGGAAACTAACCACGGCGATGCTTTTCGGTTGAGGGACTCCAACAGAAGATACTGAAGCTAGAAACTCTACTCTAAGTCGAAATGATTATCTGACCTGTTCCGTGGAGGTGATGGCGCAGAAGGCAATCTCCCCAAACCGCCGTGTGGGGTATGGCCGGTACGTGATTCCGCCAATCACCGTGTTCTGCTTGATGAGCATCATCGACTTGTGGTTCCTGCAAGGTCGCACCGGTCTTAGTGTCACGTGTCGAACTGAACGAATTCCATTCCTCGATCTGCGTCTACACCTGAATCCTTCCCTTGCCTTCGAACGATTTGAACCCCATGCAGAACACTGTTGATTCAGGTTTGCCAAGATGACGTCACCGCGACACTAGTGATACTCAGGAGATTATAGGTTCTATCCTTCTCGTCGGAATCGCGGGGCTGTTGTGGCGAGTAAGCAGAGGAAGAGCTTTTAACCGCCTGGCTTGGGCGGTCCCGAAAGTCAAATGCGGCTTATTAGCCCGGAGTGCCCAGATGGTTCTCGGTTTTTTTTTTACTTTTTTGTGTTTGTTTGGTTGGAATCTTCTCTTATAGCCCGTGCGTATCAAAGGCATGGGGCGGATCATCCAAAGCGCCGCAGATTGAAACCCGGAGGCATGCCGTCGTCTTCTTTCAAAAAATGGTTCTACTCCGCCCCTCAAGAGTCAAAATCGCCTGTAGGATAGACCTTAGCTGGCTTGCCCGTTAAGCTCAAGCAACTAGCATGGAAGTGAATAATGGACCACGTCCTTTGAAGACTCCCGAAAACGGAGCATCATCGGTCTTCTTTAACAGAATCTGATCAACGAAAGCAGATCAAGAAGTCAGAAGCAAAGGAAATACAAAGAAGAATTCAAGGCCTTGTCGGTCTCACCGATCCATGACGAGGCGGACGATATACTCCTTGGGCATGTTTGGGAGCTGCTTCGAGAAGATGTTCTTCAAACCAATCAGCCTGCACAACAACAAAATGGCCTTACATGCCTTGCGTTTTCAAGCTGCGCTCCCGACACCAGCTGATATCTAGACCCAAGAAACGGTCCAGATAGTCCTTATCAAAAACAGGTTGCGGTGGCAAAAAGGTAGAGAAACGACAGGACGGACTTGTGGTGGACGAAACCAGGTCTAAGGAAGATGTAGGCGCCCGCTTAAGTGAACGTAATTCACCGCAGCGCAACTCAATCGTCCTAAGTAAGACGTGTGCCTCTTGTCAATGTCACTGCCTTCCCCGCAATAATAAGAGCTTAGTAACCAAAGGACCAATGCATTTGAGCTAGCTTTTAATCTCCTCGAGCACACTTCCAATGCTGTGATCCAAATTTTCTCACACTAGCGATAGGTTCTCTACATTGATGTCCATGACAGCCTGGCAAATCCATTATGCTTCAACCTGTAAATTCCCCCTCCAGCATATCTTATGCTTCCAACCTCACCATATCATATGCTGCACCACCCCGTCATTCCCTGCGCACGAGAACTGGATCTTCCCCGCATCCTCCATCTCCTGCAGGTTCTCTTCTCTTGACATGTAAGCCCCCGTCAGAGGAACCTGCGCTTCACCCCCCTTCCCATTCCCCTGCGGGGACCCCCCCCCAGCAGGCTCCACCATGTTCAACTTCAGGTTCTTATACTTGCTGTCAATCTTCACCCCCCCTGTTTTGACATCGGGGGTTTCTGGGATCACCGTGGTATTGTCGGGGTTTTCCTTCTTAATGTTGATGGGGTTGGGGGGCCTAAGGCCGGGGATGGGGCTTGGTGGAGGGGTTTCGGAGGGGTTAAGGCGCTCGGAGGTGAACTGGAGCAAGCTGGGGTCCTCGCCTTGACCTGTCGTGATTGAGGCTATTCACATGAGGCGGAGTCGATCGAACAATAAAAGAGCAAAAAGTGAGAAGGACGTGGAGAAGTAAGTTACTTTCGGCCTCAAAGTTCTGACTCTGATTACTTTCTGTGCTGCTTTTGACAGGAGCTTATTAAACTTTCTCAATCTCGATCTTGATACTGAAGAGTTCATGGTCTGCAGCAGTTTCGTCTTCAATCAGCCAAAAGACTACTGAGCTATCATGAAGAAGAGCAAAGGCGCTCTGGGGAAAAGGAACCGGAAAGAGCATCCTGTCTTTCTTTATCCAAAAAGCAGGCTGAAAAGAGCTCCCCTGAAAACGAAGACATAGAGAAAGAGAGAAGAGCTGGTAGCGGTGAGAAGACGCCTGCAGAGGCCCCTTCCACCCGTCTTTGAAAAGCTTAAAGTGTAAGCAAAGACACACCACCACCAACCCGCCAGTCTGATTTCTTTCCTATCAGCAACCCTTCGCACTTGGTCTTGCTACGAAAGAATCTCCGCCATTTGATCAGCGAACCTTTTGAACTTGGCCGATGCAGCCTCTCCTTTCCTTCCCCACCAGAGAATCGTGACCCTATTGCTGGGACCTTTGTCCATACTTCCAACTGCAACCGCTAAAAGGCAGACACGTGAAGCGAAAAACGAGCCAACAATGCTGACTCACCTGAGACTCCTACGGACGAGTCTCCGTTTCCCAAGCGCTGCCTCTTTGCGCTGGGCAAATCCTGATCCATCTCCATCTCTCCTAGGTTGCACCAATGTCAATGCAGCTATTTTCGACGCAATCAGCGAGAATTGGAGAATTTCCAAACGCCTATCATGAGGTAACAGGCATGTGTCCTGCACACCGCTTCACAATTTACCACCTAGACAGGCAGCTGAAGTTTTACGTCTGTACAGCATCCCTCTCTCCAGCATTTGGAGAGCTCAGCCTCTTGCAAGTTGCAAGCCTCACCTCTGATTTTGCTTGCACAAGACGAACCGTTTCAAACTTGGGCTGATCCGAGGGGCGATGATGATTTTTGCGCTCATTTTAGTTCTACGTTTCTCAGCAGGAATTAGAAAAGGCTTGCGTGTCCTGCAGATAACGAATTTGACCTCGCAGGATTCTGAAATACATATTCCTTAAAGTTAGAGTCTTGAGTCTTGACTGCAAATTGGGTCTGATAAGCTCGCTTCCTACGTGGATATATACGAGGTCGACCAATTAAGATTCAAATTCAAATTGTGGACATGGACACCTGGTGAACACTGACAGGCACACTTTCTCTGCAGCCATGCAGAAGGTTGGAGCAGCTGAGCTAGAGTAGGGTGCGCATGGCGCGCTCAAGTGCGGATCTGCAGACAAAGTAGTCCTCTACTGTTGGTATACACGCATCCATCCAAAAAAAGCTGTCTCTTTTTTGCACGCTCATTATTAAGGATCATGCCTTTCTTTGCACAAGAGCAGCAGCCAACAATGCCTAATGGACGCATTGCAAGATACCAAGCTAGTAAAAGAGAAACCAAAAGAGAATGCGACGTCAGCACCGCCAACAGGACAGAGTCAAGGGGCGCATTCTGAGGGCTTGCCGCATTCTGGGGCGATGGGCCCCCCTGATTCGGCGCCCCAGGAGGGGCGCATTGGGAGGGGTGACACCAGAAAGGGAGTGCCAGAAGAGTCAAAGCATGCAGAGTCTAGGATCAGGGTCATCACGTTAGAGGCAGCAAGGCTGAGAAAGGAGCTGAGGGACTCGGAGGCGAAGCGGCAGAGGGCGGTGGACAAGTAAGCATATGATGGGTGATCTTCCATTCTGGTGCCTTGTAGCTCTCGTTTGTATGGTAAAAGCTGCGTTCTTATGTGCTTCTTGTCAAACTAAGTCTGCTGTTACTGCTTATGTGAGGTAATGTTTGTATTGAAAGGCTGGTTGGGAGCCAATTGGCGCTGCCTGCTAGCACATTAATTGTGCCTGAAGCCCCACATTAGGGTTTGCCAAAATTAGGGTTTTGTCGACTGGGGTCCTCTGCCAGCTGCTGCTCATAGTTAATTACCTGACAGGTGTAAGGAGTATGAGGAGAAGAACCGATGGGGGGAGCGAGCGATCAGTGAGCTGCGATACTCGAACAAGCAGCTTCAAGGGGAGCTTAAACTTGCCAGCGAGGCGGCCGCTGCGTCAGCCACCCGCAACAGGGCTGCGCTGGCATCACTCAGGTGATTCATGCCTGAACTTTAAAGGGGGTGGTGTAAGCTGAAGGAGCGTCTGCTCATTGATCTTAGGAAAAGCTCTAGTGAGTCATATGATACAAGATTGTCACATTGTGGCAAACGCCACCTGTCACAATGGGGAGAAGTTAAGAAAATGCCTTTCTTCAGATCGTGGGGAAGTTGAGATGTTGCAACTCTACGGAACGGGTAATCTGCAAGGATGCAGCTTAAGGGGCATCATGGCCCCCAATTTGCCACTGGGACAGTCTGCACCTTCAGCTGGAACTTTAAAGAAGAAGTCTTCAATGGGTGTACAGCTGGATGCCCCCACATTGAACCATTCCGAAGCTGACTCCCTTCTCTTTGACGCCATAGACAGCTGCACCCTTAAAACATCGACACTTCAGACCTCAAACAACACGTAGTGTCATTTGTTTCTTGTTCCTTCGTTGTCCCCAGCCGAATAGGTCCATCCTGACGTCCGCTGGGCAGAACTCGCTAGATCTTGGTCAGTACCCAGCTGGTAACTAGATACTATAGACTTAAATACGCTAACCAAGTGTGAGGCCTTGCAGGGCTGGACTTGGCGCCGTAGAGCAGGCTGTCGCAGAGAGGGCCGCCAAGAGCCACACCCAGCTACAGGGCCTCTTCACCGCCCTGCAGGGCCTTCAGCGATTGGTGCTGCAGCGCGCCAGCGTGCCAGGTAGCGACATGCTAGAGGCCCAGCGCTTGTTTGCCGAGCTGGTGCATGGGCTGGGGGCTCTTGGCAGGTGATTCGGAACTTTGGGCTCCGGCAATCAGTCTCTCTTTCTTTTTTTATGTAGGAACAATTGTCAAACTTTCGAGCTGGTAGTTTCAGATTTGGGGGCTCAAACTGATGTGTATGAAAAGCTGCCAGCAGTCAAGATTGGTGGTAGAAGTTCAGCGGAGGAAAGCCATCAGGGCCCTTATCTAGTGGCGGTGTTTTCCCGTGCTTTTCATCCACGACCCTGATGGCTTCGTATCTGGTGGTCACAATCAAGATTGTCCGCACACATTCTGAACGGCTAAGTATGTTTGAAGCAACTTTCTGAGGAACTTTCCAATCTTGAACCCTCACTATGCACCATTCATTCTACCGCAGGCCACACCCTCTATTTATCCAAGTGCTCTTTCTTATCTCTACTCGACTGAACCTCCCTGCAGTCTGATTGGCGGCGGCCTCCATCCCCTCATTCCCCCCCAGTCCGCCAGCGAGCCCCCCACCCCCGCTGCCCCTCCCCTAGCCCTTAAAGAGCAGTCTGCCAACGTGGCTCTCGCAGCAGAGTTGGTCGTGCTAAAGCAGCGCATGTCGTCCGTTGAGGCCGAACGAGTGAGGCTTTCTGCGGAAGCGACCTCTCTTCGGGAGGAGGTGAGGTACTCAAATTCGGTTAGCAACCGAACAATCTTCTCGGCTGTCAGTGCACTGGGTTTGTTTTGCCTGCCTTGCATCACCAGTTGTTCTGGTTTGACATACTTCCATGTGGGGCGCTTAATGTGTCTTCGGAGGGGCAACTCGTTAACGTCTAAGCTAGGCTACCAAAGAACAATCTACGAGTCTCTGGAATTTCTGCTGTTTGCTTCTAGTTCCTTACAATTCTTGTTGTGACAAGCCCCGTTGCCAAACCCCCCGACTCTGCTTGTTCACTGCCTGACTATCATTCTTGTGGAACCCCGACTCGGTGTTACCCGCGAAAGCGGCTGAATTGACAGCCAAACAGGCTCCTCAATCTGGCTTAGGAAGGTCAAGGGACAATTCTTGGTCTTAGGAAGCAAGAATGTATGCACACCCAAGCCGTATGATATTGAAGTCGAGCCTAAGTTGTAGATACTAGGCAACTCAGGAGCAACTATTTCCACTGACAACCAGCCAACCCCGCATTGCCAGCTAGCGCGCGAGCGCACCGGCGAGGGCGCCAAGGCCGCGGCGTTGATCCCGCAGTACCGGATGGCGGTGGTCAAGGCACGTGCCCAGGCGTCGGCCCTGCGGGAGCGCCTGGCGGAGGGGGCCAAGGAGCGCGCGGCACTGCGGGAAGAAGTGGAGAGCGCGCAAAAGGCGCTGCGAGAAAGGTGAAGATCCGCAGGCATTTTTGCTCTCGGCGGCTTGTTTCACACAATCTAGTTGGTTTGGGTGTGTCATCCTGATTACAACGTATGATGATTTCGAGAGGGAGTGGAAAGCGCACAAAAGGCGCTGCGGGACCGGTGGGGATCGCAGGCGTTTCTCGTCCGCTCGGTTTCTTCTGTCACAATTTGGTACGTTTGGGTGTGTCACTCTGAGTCAATGTTGTTCATTGACGTACGGTGATCTCGAGAACGAGTGGAAAGCGCGCAAAAGGTGCTGCGGGAAACGTGAAGAGCCGCAGGCGTTGGTTCCTCGGCTCGGCTTGTTTTGTGACAATCTGGTTTATTTGGGTGTGACATCCTGATTACGTCACACGGAGATTCGGGAAAGAATTGGAAATCCTGCAAAAGGCGCTGTGGAATAGGCGGGGAGCCGCAGGCATTTCTGCTCTCTTTTAACCGTCTGGTTGGTCTGTGGGTGTCATCCTGATTACGACGTACGGTGATCTCGGGAAGAAGTGGAAAGCGCGCAAAAGGTGCTACGGGAACGGTAAAGATCCGCAGGCGTTTCTCGTCCGCTCGGCTTCTTTTGTCACGATTTCGTTCGTTTGGGTGTGTCTTTCTGAATCAGTGTTTTTTAAGCAACGTAACGTACGGTGATCTCGGAAACGAGTGGAAGGCCTGCAAAAGGCGCTGCGTGAAAGGTGAAGATCGGCAGGGATTCTGCTCTGCTCGGCTTCTTTTGTTACGATTCGGTTCGTTTGGGTGTGTCATTCTGAATCAGTGTTGTTCACATGACGTACCTCGGGAACGAGTGGAAGGCCTGCAAAAGGCGCTGCGAGAAAGGTGAGGGTCCGCAGGTGTTCGTTACACTGCATTCTATATATCAGTACGGTTGTTCTTGGTTTGGATGTGATTTTCCTAGATTGGTGTCAGTGATACAATATACAGTATTTCGGAAGAAGCGGAAGGCCTGCAGAAGAGACTGCGGAAAAGGTGGGGTTTTGCGTTGGATGCTCTACGTGCCCTGCTTTGTACGGAACCGGTTGCTTTGGATTTGTTTTCTTTATCGACTTGGTGACAGTAATGCTGGGGAGAAAGAGCGAAAATGGGGTTTACAACTCGGGGACGCAGTCTTCCGTCAAAGTCTCGTTCAAAAATGGTGGCTTCATCGCTGATGTCAATTGATGGGAGTTGACTCCAAAAACGATTTGGGGACAGTGATGCTTGGGAAAAAGTGCGAAAAGAGGTTCACAGACTTGGGGGCGCAGTCTTACGTCAAAGTCTCCTTCGAAAGTGCGACTTTATCGCCGACGTCAAATCGAGAAATGGTGTTTTTCTTTCGTACAGTTCCAGCGCCCAGGAAGTGGAGCAGCAGAGGGAGGCCCTCCAGAGCGCGCGCGCGCTGAGTGAGGCGGCTGCAGCCCGGCAGCAACTAGAGGCGGACCTGCAAGTCCTGCGGAAACGGCTGGCGCGGTTGGAGGCGGACGCAGAGCGGTGGACGAAAGAGAGGGAAGCGCTGCTGGTGAGACGCGCTGTGTCTTCGCACGACGTTACTTCGAACAATATGCGACATGTAATTTTTGCTAGCGTGATCGGCCTGAAGTCTCATGGGAAGAGCCTTCAATTGACTAGGTCCCACAGTTAGATTTGTATCGGCTGATGGCACAAGCGTCTTTTTTTCGTGATCGACAACTGTCTCGAACTTATGGTGGGCCGTTCTACCACCATCAGTAAGACTTCAAACTTGCCGCAGGGGGCCGAACTCACGGAAATGACATCACCTAAAGAGTCTGTACTGCTGCCTGAAACCAGCTCTTCTGACCGCAGGTTCGGTCGGGCGAACTCGAGCAGCGTTGCAAGCAGCACAGTCGGACGATCCGGGACCTCCGCGCGCTCATTGCGGACCAGCGCGCGGACGCCCAGTTCGCGCTTGAGATTGTGTCCAAGCGTCCGAAGATCTTCTTCTTCCCCCCCCAACATTCAACGCTGGAAACCACCTCCCCCCGGCCAGCCACAGCGTCTGCTGTACACGAAACTTTGGGGCGGAGCCAAACCTGGTTAAATGAGCACGCGGTTAACGGGAACGGGCAGGCGGGAAACGGGTTCGAGAACGGGTTAGGGGCGGGTTTGGACTGGACTTCGAGTGGGGAGCGCTCGTCGGAGTTTGCGGGAAAGGGTAGGGAACGGCATCGATATCACAGAAGTCGCAGGAGGGGAGACAGGAAAACGGGTCGAGACGAGGGTTATGCGAGCGTGCCTAACCCGAGCCATCAGCACGGGTTAAGACGAGACGAGCAGGGGGCAAGGCCGGGCGGGTATGACGGGAGCGCTCCCAATCCGGGTTTCGAGCGTGGCTTAAGAAGAGAGGGTAATGAAGTGGAGGTAGACGGGTACAGAGCGGTTGGGGTTAAGGGTGGGTTAGGCACAGAGAATCGCAATAACGAGGGCAACGGTTTACTGCCAGCGGGGGTGATGCCGAGCGGGTTTGGGCATACGGACTTTCACAAAATTGGGGGCCCTGTCATTGAAGGAAGGGACGGGGACAGCCTTCCTCCGGAAGCGGGAGGGTTGAGAAAAGGCCATGGTTTAGGGCCCAGTAGTGTGGGGGTTTCTTCTAAACCAGAGGAGTGGAACGGTGTGAATAATCGGCTTAGTGAAGCGAAGGCCTCCTCCGGGAAGCCGAACGGGGGTATTCTCGCCGAGGGGTTGCTGGACGACCTTCTGCTGACAGAAACGGAAAGTGAACGAGATCTGTTAGGAAAGATTAACGGCGGTTCCCTAAAAGCGGGGAATCGTTCAGGCGTTTCCCCGGTCAGTCAGTCGCTGCCGGCCGGGCAGTGGCCGAGCCGGGGGTTAGAGGCAACAGCGGCTGCATATGCGCAGCCAATAAGTAACAAAGTAGTGGGCGATCGAGACCGAAACGAAGGGGTTACGCTACAAAACGACGGTGGGTTAATGGGCGAAAACGGTGAGTTAGGTAGACGAGAAAGCGAGTCCGATACTGGGGTTTGGAAGGGGGCCGCCGCAGCGGCAGGATCAGAAGAGCTGCAGAAAGGGATGGCGGCGTTGGATAGAGAGATCGCGGACTTGCAGACGAGCTTGCAGGCTGCCAGCTGGCGCCTGCAAGAGTAGCCACGTCGTCGCGATTCTAAAAAGTTGAGGACAGTCAAGACTATGGATGAATGGAAGTTGAAGAGATACGTGTTGACAGTCAGAGTATGCATTGCTGGTTCGCGTTTGGTGATTCTTCTACTCGCATGTTACAGTGCTAACTATCCTTAAGGACCTCTACATGTACCCCAACTTCTTTGCTCGGATGGGCGGCAACTTTGAAGTTCTGTTACAGATCGGATTCACAAGTACAATAGATGCAAGGGATAGTTTATGATGCGCAATCATCTTCAGCGACTGACCTGGCAAGGAATGCTGGCTTAGTGCATTAGTCATATAGTGAGTAACATGCGCGCCTGCATGGTTCACCACTGCAACTTTACGTACATGAACGATATAGGCTCGTTTTCCTTTTGTTGTGTCCGGCCCACTTATAGGCTTCTACCCGGAGTCAGTTATAGAATCTCGAAGAGGAGAGGGTTTCACACCTCCTACTGATTGTTCATCATTTCTGCGATTGTGCGGGTGCACGTTTCAAAAATATGTTCCAGATCGCCGATCGGGACGTACTCACATCATGTATTCACAAGAGATGGAATTACCGCATTCCAGAGACGTTGACTATACCGGTGGCCGGCCCGATGAAGGCCGCCGCGGTACCCGGCTAAGGAGACATGTATGATCGTCGGAATGGTCGAAGTACTAGCTGTCTGATATATGTGATTGAAAACTCAGCCAGAAGTTCAAGAAACCTAAGGGATTGAACTGTACATACATATGTCCAAGTTCAACGTGGTAAAGTCCGAATGTCCACTATACTGCGGAAAGGTGCTCATTTGGGATAAGTCTCGAGTTCTATTCTGAGGCGGATTGTTCTCCAATATGACTCTACATGCACTCGCATATCACCACTCTTATAACATACGACAAACAAGCCTTATCTTAGCTTAGTCTACTACTACTACAAAGGATACCACACATACGTTGGTCAGGTCAGAGTCTACTACTGCGGAAACAGGTGCTGTTTTGCAGTTTGTACCACTCTATCGGGGCGGACTAAACGAGTCTAATGACAATCTCTCTCACACACAAAATCCACTCTTAGAATCTACAAACCTGTTCCTCTTTGATTGGCACTCCAGGTTGTTAGACTAATATAAATTTGGCCGACTGAGCATCTGCACCTCGTCTACAGCAGCTCCTCGGCATGCGGAGCTTCCTGGTCCTTTGATCCTTGGATAGAAAGACCTGCAAAAGGACCTCAGTCATAAGAAGCTAGTGTCGATGTGAGGATAAGATGTGTTCTTCTTATTGAATGCTAACGAATGTACTCAACTCGCGGTAGCGTAGTCTTTGACGTCTAAGCTTTTGACAGGAGAAGAGGCATCGGAAGGGGCCAATTGGACGAGCAAAATACTGTCACTGATAATTCAACCCAGGAATCAGTGCCGTACCATTTGGCAGAACGATGGACTGCTGTACTCAAGTCAGTAGCCGGCTCTGAAATGAGATGAGGGATAACCAGAAAGTTTGCAGTTCCTGAAGTTCGATCATTTCAAAATCAAGGAAAACGAGGTTTTCTGTGCGAGCTGAACATTGTGATACCGATCGATGGGGGCCGGTCATGTGACACAAACTGCCAAGGTGTGAGGAATCTCACCTCCAGGCCACTTCGTCTTACTCCGTATAGGGCTTCTCTTCTAGTTCAGGTAGCCGCCATAGGCTCCATTGTTACCAACGGGGAGCCCAGAGGCCTGCAGAAGATAGATGCATTTAGTAACATGAGGAGCTTCTTTAAGACCATTTTGTGTCCAGCTACGATGAATAGTACGTACATCAAACTGATCGTAAAGGAAAAGTCACAGTCTCCGGGACGAGGTTCAATCGATTGCAACGGACTCATTCCGCTTCTGTCGAGATGGGTGATGCCCACTTCGTTCTGTTTGTGACGACCAGAACAACAATCAAGCAGGTTGCCAGAGCTCCACAAGAAACGCGCGCGCAGAGCGCGCACCTTCTTGGCGGCCGCCATCTGCGCGAGGATGAGGCGCAGCGCGGCGACGGTGGCGTCCGGCTTCTTAACCTCCACGCTCAGGATCTTGTCCTCGATGGTCAGCGTGTGGTACACCCCCGGCGCCGCCAGGTAGCGGCCCCCAGGGATCGGCACGAGCTGGCCTTTGAGGCTCTGCTCGGCCGCGTGCATCTGCGGGACGCTTATGTTGCCGTTGTTGGTGAACTCGAGCATGTGCTCGGTGCTGGACTCCAGCGGGTTGATGGCCCTCACACCGAGGTTCATGTGGGTCGGCCGGTACTGCAAAGGGTGGTGCGAAATGAGGATTAGATCAAAGATAGAGCAACTATGAAACGGAAAGCAAGCGCAAAGGGTCGAGCCGCCGACAATCTTGACCCCACATCCCCTCTGATTGGCACAAAGGACCGGCGCTGTTAGCAGCTGAGGTCAGGACTGCTCAGACATCCTCAAATAAGAAGGTCTGGCGTGCTTTCGGACCGGATTGTAGGACACGCCCCGGCCGTTCAGCGCACTGCGCTGAGCAAACGAAGCAGGTAACAATCGAGTCGCTCCAAGCATGCAAGAGTGTGTTCTACAATGTATGAAACCACAGCCTGCTCGAAGGCCAAGATTCAAACGGAGGCACCAGCGCCAGCTCTTCATTTTGACCTCTTTGCAACAAAGAATCACCTTCTGAAAGCTTTCCGACGGAAATCGAACCTCGCAAAGCAAGCACCTCAGAATGATTAGCATCCTGGCTATCAGTAACCCACCTTATCGTGGATCCACTTGACGAGCGCGGCCCCCAGAATCTTCACGGCGAGCTTTATCACCACGAGCTCAACGATGACGGAAGGCTCCTTCACGTTCAGCGCTGGCTCGTAAGCAAACAGCTCCTCCAGCGTGTTGATCGCCCCCTGGGGCGGGCGTGCAGCCGCGAGCGCGAGCGGGATGCCCTGCACCATCGGCTCCACGCTCGTCCAGGCTCCGCCGCTGACGTCAAAGGCGACGGCTGACGTGTGGCCGGGCTTGAGGACGATACTTGTGGACGCGGAGACGGAGAGGTACTTGGCGACGATTCCGTCATTTCCGGTGTACTTCTTGCTGTTGGTGAAGTACACCTCAACTTCTTCGGCGAAGCTGAAGCCGGCCGTGCCCTTAAAAAGGATGCCGGACGCGATGATGGGGGCCTGCAGAAGAGGGGGTCGAAGAGTGAGTCTGGATTCCACTCAAGAGAGGGAGAGAATGGTTCAGCTCCTCAGTGCGCTCGCTTGTTACGCAGGACGCTCTGATAGAAGCCTGCCCAGATAGGAAGATTGTAACCGAAATGAATCCCCTGGAACGACAATGGAAGGGGTGGGTCGGAGCGTCAAGAGCAGAAGAATCAGTCCTCCCTTGAACCGGTAGCGAAATGAAGCGAGGGTAATAGAGAGTTATGGTAATAATGTTTGTACCCTGCAGTCCTCTAAGCAACCACGGAACCTCCACTTGCCTGAACGATCTTTCCGTTGTTCTTGGACACCTTCTGCGCGATGCCGTAGCTGTCGCTGCCGGGGCGCAGATCGTTCTCAATCTCAATACCATCGGAGCGGGAGGCGCTGCCAATGTCCGTGAAGACCCGGTTGTACGAGTACCTGCAAATCGATCACACATCGTTCCAATGTGATTCCCCGGTTCTTCTTTTCGATCTTATTTTCTGCAGAATTCTGGTGTAGAATCTTTCCACCCTTCAGCTTGCTGCAAGCAACGAGAATGAAGGAATTTCTTTGTGTGCTTTACTACTCTTTTCAGTCTCCCTTGATTTCATCCTTTTTCAGTCTTCCGACTTCCTTGATATAACATGGCAAGTTTTGGGAAATCACAATACCTACATCCGGGCGCTAGTCTAGCAAAGGTGCAGCTTCAATGCTTGAGAAGGCAAAGAATGCGCCGCCTCAGAAACTGCAAACAGACTCTAGCTAACCTTTTAATCAAACCTGCCCTGACAGAGTAACAACTGCAAACCATGAGACTTGCCAAACCTCTCAGCGCTATTCACCTTCTGCCTAAGATCGTAATAGATCATCTCACTGGTGCCCAAAGGAAAGCACCATTTCAAACAGACAAAGCGGATGAGCCCAAATCTGTTGACTTAACCAAAAGTGATCAGGCTCTATTAGATTTGTATACAGCAACAAATGCAAGCACGGGCAAGCACCTTCAGAAGGCGAAATGAAGGTGGCCAAAACATCAAGTTTTCCTGGAACCCCCACGCACGTTCATCCTGCTTGAAATAACTCATCAGAAAGCCAATCAGTGATTCAAACAAGGGCCAAACCCGACCAGTCGAAAGGCCCCTCTTGATGTCCTACTTGATTATGGTTCGCCTGAGAACCCAAGCATTGGTTATGAAACGTAACCCAAAGAGCCGAACCCCTCGGGTTCGTTCAGACTTCTCCCACTCACTTCCTGCCCATGGTCGCTTCAGGGGTGTTGCTCCCCTGCATGATGGTGACCCCGTCCTGGGACAGGTCCTGCGTCGTGTAGTACAGGTAGTAGTCCTCGTCCCAGCTCACGGTGATCGTTCCGCCCAGGATCTCCACGGACAGCCACTGCACCGGAATGGCGACAGCGGAATCGACGCCGCTCTTCTTCATGACGCCCAGCTCGTAGCCGCCGTTCACCAGGGTGGTGATGTCAGTATCGTTGGGGATCTGGACCTGGAAGGAGTACTTTGCTGACGCCATGTTTGAGAAGCGAAAGGTGAGGGAGATAAGAACGTTGGTGGAGAGGGAGCTGAGGAGGGAGGAGTGCGGGGGGGCTGCTGGACGCTTTCTGGAGGCAAAGGTCTTGTGTTTTGGAAAGCGAGAATCTGCCAATGAAGGTTTCACGGCAAGGGCTTGCCTTTTATACCCAAAATCAGCATGCTGAAAGGGAACGAGTGCCTGCCGCAGGCCTTGCTCAAAGACGCTGCAGTAGGACAATCTGCTCTTTCGGAAATCCCTCCTGAGTGCATTATGCGTGAATAGGAAGGTTCTCAGGCACGTTCTGCGCCTGGCTTCGAAGTAAATGCCCAAAGACGCGTACAGCCTGTGAGGGAATCGGCCAGGCGAGTTGCATCATACACCTGTACACTTCGAGTCTCATGGAAGCGGTCACTGAATATTATCCATTTTTGTTCCTCTTTCACCCCGAGCGATCGATTTTAGCCAGCTGAAACCCTGGTTAGACATGCACCAAAGTTCACCGAGGTGCCAAGTTTGAAACACAGAATTAAAGCACTTGCAGGTTGCGAGACCTGTAGGCTGTGTCATCAAGCACTCCTCAGACAGAATTGTCATGCTTTTCAGGTATCTGAAAATCGTCCGTGTCAAAGGACGACTGATCTCGAGCATTTACTGATCAGCTTGAGGGGAACTCGTCTATGATGCACCGAAGTCCGAGCCCATCAGCGCTGCGTATGTACCAGTGCCCTGCTGTTGGTTACAAGCAAAGAGGTAGACATGTATAATGCACGGCGCTCAACCAGCAGCGAGCATTTATTGCTGCCAGCTCAGGACCAGGGCACCTGCCACAGTGACGCTGCACGCGCGCGTACGCTACATGAGTGACTGTTGACGGTCGTCTGGTCTCACCTTGAGCGTATGCCATGTGGCATGTAGGACCTACTGTAGGTTCAGGAATCAGCCGCCCCGTCGACTACCTAGGAGAGACGAAGAGCTTGAAGTTGTGGTACCGACCGGCCAGCTTCATATTAGGTAATACAGGCCGGTATGGTCGCGGCCACGGCCAGGGTATTCACACAGGGAAATTGCCGGAGATGATTGTCCGCGTTTTGGGGACTCCGGGGACCGGCGCGGTAACACCGTAGGTAGGGGAGAGTGTACCGTACGAAGGTAGGTAGGTATGCCATGCATGATACTCCGTTACTGTAGTACTAAATGCTTCGCTGTCACGACGGCATTTGATTCTCAATGTCCATCATGCATTCGCGTACCGGTATACACATATTAATGTCCGGAAGAGGGGCGACTCAAGTATCGACGTCGAACGATACATAGGATTCAAACAGGTAATACCGTTACGGTATCCTGAGTCATAAGTCATGACATACCGGTACCCAAGTACTGTACTTTGAAATTTGAATCCCCGCTGACCTTAACCCGCGCTAACCCTGTCTCAACCGCCTTCACATCATCTGTAAACCCAATGCCTCCAACTTCATTCATGCAGCTGGACTTTGAGATCTCTCATGCGCAGTCCCGACCCCCAGTGCGACGTCCGTCTCAGCAGGCTCCGTCAGTCAGGATTGAAATGCAAGTCCTCTGTGTCCGGTAGATACTACCGGCAACAAGGACATTCTTCGCGCGGTGCCTGCATGGTGCTACAATCTCTGTGAGTGCCGGTGACAGCACAATGGCATATTCTCTTGAATAGTATGATAAGCTGTAAGAAACTGGAGCTATATTCAGGCTCTGAGGAGTCAGCGTCTCAACTGCAGGACTTTGTGGGGCCTCGATCTGGTACGGTACCCCCTCCGGATCCCTGTAAGTTTCTCAGCACCAGATTTTCAGACTTTACCCAGAATACCATAAGTCGGTAGGAACGCTCGTGATCGTTTTCTGTATTAACCGTAGCATTTCATTATGGTCTCGACCAGTTTGCATGGAACTTAGAAGTCCGAATTGAACCTACATCCGGTACATTAACCTGTAGGAACATAGTAGTGGCTGGTTGAGTGGAAGTCGTCGTAAGCTGTATAAGCTGAAGTTCTTACAGAAATTCGAGGGTTTCAGCTGGTTAAAATCGATCGCTCGGGGTGAAAGAGGATAAAATTGGATGATATTCGGTGATGGCTTCCATAAGGCTCCATAAGTTGCAAGTGTATGATGCAACTCGCCTGGCCGATAGCTTCACGGGCTGTACGCGTCCTTGGGCATTTACTTCGAAGCCAGGCGCAGAAAGTTCCTGAGAACCTTCCTAAGTGATCACGCATAATGCTCTTCTGTAAGAGCAGAATGTGCTACTGCAGCGGCTTTGAGCAAGGCCTGCTATAGCTACAGGCCGGGCGCTCGTTCCTTTCCAGCATGCTGATTTCGGGTGAGAAAGGCAAGCCCTTACGGTCATTGGCAGATTCTCGTTTTCCAAAACACAAGACTCTTGCCTCCAGAAAGCGTCCAGCAGCCCCCCGCACTCCTCCCTCCTCAGCTCTCTGTCTACCGACGTTCCGAGCTTCCTAACCGTGCGCTTCTCAAGCATGGCGTCAGCAAAGTACTCCTTCCAGGTCCAGATCCCCAAAGATGCTGACGTCACCACCCTGGTGAACGGCGGCTACGAGCTGGGCGTCATGAAGAAGAGCGGCGTCGATTCCGCTGTCGCCATTCCGGTGCAGTGGCTGTCCGTGGAGATCCTGGGCGGAACGATCACCGTGAGCTGGGACGAGGACTACTACCTGTACTACACGACGCAGGACCTGTCCCAGGACGGGGTCACCATCATGCAGGGGAGCAACACCCCTGAAGCGACCATGGGCAGGAAGTGAGTGGGGCCCTGAACACAATCGAGGGCTTTGGTTTCTGGGTAGCTTTAGTATTATGATCGGTACTTGGGGTCTTAGTTTAACTGCAGCAGGCACGAGATAAGTAGGGCGTTAAGAGGAAGAGGCTTTGCACTTGTTGCCTCTGTTCCAATTGGTCTTTGGCTACTTGATGGATCTATATTTGGCAAGAAGAACGTTGCGCGTCCGAAATAGGCCTGACGCTCTGGCTCTTTCAACTCGGGCTGCTGGTTGACAGTGCTTGCCTTTGTTGCTGTTACAACTGGGGGGTGGATATATTGGAACGTTTGGAATTGTCCGTTTTTGGCTCCATTTTGAAATGCTTTGGTTTTGGCGCAAGACGAATCTAGCGGGAATGTAAGGGAGATTGTGGAGCTGAGGGTTCTAACGAGTGTTGTGAAGTGCCCAGCTGATTTCCCTGTCAATTGAGATACATGGAAGGTTTTCTTGTGTCTACGATCAGCTTTTGAGGTGGCCCTATTGTACCGCTTCTCGAGCAGTCAAGCCGCATGTACGTTCGTTCGTGGCAAAATAAGCCCTAGGACCTTGCCAAGCTTCAGGAAGTCGGGAGATGTCTGTAACGAATCCACAGGAATCTCTCCTTCATTCTCGATGCTTGCGGAGCATAAGGCTTGTCGCATCAGAGGCCGAGGGTTGGAAGAGGCCTATCCTGCATAAGGAGATGTCGAAAACGAAGAACAGGAAGTGTGGTACAAAAGCTTGTAATCACTTGCAGGTACTCGTACAACCGGGTTTTCAGGGAGATTGGCAGCGCCTCCCGCCCCGACGGCATTGAGATTGAAAACGATTGGCGCCCCGGCAACGACCGCTACGGCATCGCGCAGAAGGTGTCCAAGAACGGACAGCTCGTTCAGGCAAGCGCATTTCAAGACTTCGGTGTATATCAGACATGCGTCAAGAGGCAACCCAGACTTTCGGCCTCCGAGTGCCGGCCACTTTGGTACTCGAATCGCTCCGAGGAAGTGCCAAAGGTTGCTCGCGAAAAAGGCCCAGCTCTTCCCGGCAGAATGAATGGACGCCCGCACTCCTTTGTGACCCAAACTTCTCAACATTCTGAAATAGTGCATGTATAGCAGATCACTTCTGAAATCGTTAAGCTACAGTCAGGTCCCCTTCATAAGACTTCTGCATGTTGTTCGGCTCACCCTACAGGGATCCTTCCTCCTGATATTACTCCTCCCTCCCACGGACCCTTCTCTCTTCCCCATTGAGGTGAACGATGGCATTTAAACTTCTCGTGCCCCGCTCCTTTCTTTCATTTGAGGGAAGCTTCTGAGGCTTCGAAGGCTCCCTCTGACGCCCTGCCCCGCCACTTCTCGTTCCAAAAAGTAACTTTTGGCGAGCATTATACTCCCTGAGTGGCAAGCCCCCACAAGGCGTATAAGCGAGCCCACTGAAGAGTTGGACCATTTCCCCACTTTCTTTTAGCGGAAGACTCACTCTTCGACCCCCTCTTTCGACGCAGGCCCCCGTCATCGCGTCGGGCATCCCGCTCAACGGAACGGCCGGCTTCAGCTTCGCCGAAGAAGTCGAGGTGTACTTCACCAACAGCAAGAAGTACACCGGAAATGACGGAATCGTCGCTAAGGACCTCTCCGTCTCCGCGTCCACAAGTATCGTCCTCAAGCCCGGCCACACGTCAGCCGTCGCCTTTGACTTCACGAGCAAAACATGGACGCCCGTGGCGGTGGTGTTGCAGGGCATCCCGCTCGCGCTCGCGGCTGCACGCCCGCCCCAGGGGGCGATCAACACGCTGGAGGAGCTGTTTGCTTACGAGCCAGCGCTGAACGTGAAGGAGCCTTCCGTCATCGTTGAGCTCGTGGTGATAAAGCTCGCCGTGAAGATTCTGGGGGCCGCCCTCATCAAGTGGATCGACGATGAGGTGGGTCAACTCTTAGCTGGATGCAAACCACTCTGGGCTGTCGCTTTGCGAGTTCGATTTCTCGTGCAGCGAAATCAAGGCTTTCAGAAGGTGATTCTTTGTAGCAAAGAGGTCATGATGGAGAGCTGGCGCTGGTGCCTCCGTTTGAATCTTGGCCTTCGAGCAGGCTGTGATTTCATACATTGAAAACACACTCTTGCCTGCTTGGAGCGATTGAAACCGTCACCCGCTTCGTTTGCTTAGGCAGTGCGCTAAACGGCCGGGGCGTCTCCTATGATTGGGTTCTGAAAACACGCCAGACCTTACTTGATTGAAGATCTCTGGGCAATCCTAACCTCAGTTGTGAACAGCGCCAGTCCTTCATGCTCGACGCTTTGCGCTTGCTTTCCGTCTCATTCAATCCAATCCTCGTTTCGCACCACCTTTGCAGTACCGGCAGACCCACGTGAACATGGGTGTGAGGGCCATCAACCCGCAGGGGGTCAGCACCGAGCATACGCTCGAGTTCACCAACAACGGCAAAGTGAGCGAAGCGCAGATGCACGCGGCCGAGCAGATGCTCAAGGGCCAGCTCGTGCCGATCCCTGGGGGCCGCTACCTGGCGGCGCCGGGGGTGTACCACACGCTGACCATCGAGGACAAGATCCTGAGCGTGGAGGTTAAGAAGCCGGACGCCACCAACGCCGCGCTGCGCCTCATCCTCGCGCAGATGGCGGCCGCCAAGAAGGTGCCCCGCGCAACGCGCGCGTTTTGTTGGAGGTCTCGGTCCGACGTCTGGCAAGCTGCCTGTGCAAGCTACTTGCACAAATCTCGTATCGAACTTGAACGAAGTGTGTTAGCGTCGATCGTGGAGTTAAGTGTTAAGGGGCTGAGGCCGTTGGCGATTGAGTGGACGTCGCCCTAGAGACCCTGCTTGTCCCTCGAGGTCAGCTTGCGGACCTCAATACTGCTCGACACAGAGACTTGTGTAATGTTAACCTATTTCTTCGCACCTGTTTTCCGCAGGCGTCTGGGCTCCCCATTGGTACCAATGGAGCCTATGGCGGCTACCTGAACAACGCTTAGAGGACAGGCCCCGTGCGGGATAAAGACAGAGTGTTCCGTGGGGGTGAGATTCCCTCATTTTGACTTGTGCGAGATGACCAGCCCGTTTTACATTACAATATCTGGCAGGCAGAACCGTGTTGTGTTGCTGCAGACTTTCAGTCTGTAGACCACGCCAGCATTTCCGCCCGTAATACATTAAAAAAATATTGGAAGGCGCAACATTTCCTCCAGTCCAACACGGAGAGAGCTCTGGAACTTGAGTTCTCTGCCTGTCCATCATCCCTTGCCGCGCCAGTTTGCAGCCGACTATTGAAAAGACCAGCAGCTCCGCAATGGGGATCTGAATTTTGCGTCCAGGTATCTAGTTGACTGTATTGTATCGTTTGACTGGCCCTCTGGTACCTTTTCCCGGTTAAAAGCTGCGAGATATAAGATTCAATTGCCGCGGATCCGCAAGATACCTTCACTCCCTTTGACTGACAAAGTAAGTTTTGAAAGTACGCATGCTCCTGTCTTCCTCAACTATCAACTTACAGTCGAGGTATTTTGCAGGTTTTTCAGTCCGAGAACCAAAGTACCGTCTCCTTTGGACCTGAGCAAGCCGAGGAGCTGTTGCAAAACCCTTTGAATGCTTCTTCGGCCCAAGAAAGAAGTCTGCAACTTGAAAGTGCCAACTAGAAAGAAACAATCTTGTAAGGCAAGTAGAGTGCGCCAGTTGTGTGGGCGTGTGAGAGTTTGTTGTATGTTTCGCCATTTTTAAAGAGCACAGAAACCGAGCGTAGAACGTTGCCTCTTGAGCAATAAGCATGAGACATCCGACTTGGACCTTCAAATTTGGACATGTACGGCAGCCATGTGGATATTGGCCTTTTTTGAACCATATGATCCAAGCTTCTGACTCTCCATCGATCTTTCATTGTTTCATCGAAGCGCTCCGTCAGTATATTGCCTTCAGAATTCTGCATGTGCTTGTGAATTGACATTGTAAGAGTAGGCCGTTCTTAACCTGTCCTACTCCACTGATGAGTCGTGGCAGGAGTCGAACGTTCCGACTGATATTCAAGTAACAATGTTAACAAACTTGGAAGTACTAGCTTGAGTCGTGAGCACGTTGGAGATAGATATGCAACCAGCCTAGCGCATCATGTGCTGGCCAGTCCCAACCTGAAGTACGATCCAAACTTACCCCGTCACTGTGTTCCTCAAACTTGACGCGTTGGGATTGGCGGAGCCCATGGGAAGACGCAGCCTTTATATGGCACATTTAATAGATCATATTGTCGATTTTGGACAGCAGGGACTGATTGTTCTCATGTAACATTAGTACGCCGGATGCAATAAACGGATGATGCATGAGAATGTGGATTATATTAATTGATCATATGCTTTCGACATACGGGGATTGAGCATATCGATCTAGTACATTTCCGCCTTTCAATCTGGTCATGAGTACCAATGATCGAATTCATGATGCTTCATGTCTATACTTCGTGCAGCTTTCGACTAAGCGCGCTGTGACGCACTGTCGAAGCCGCGCGCCATTGCGCGGCAATCTTGCATGTTTTTAACATGCATAGGGTTATGAACATCGATAGAACGGTAGATCAGCCCCATGCGTTGCCGGCCAGTCTCAGTCTACCTGTTGAACTAGACTAGCTAAGTTCACAGTTGCGTCTATAGGGTGCAGTGCAACCACCGGGCCGCCGTGCCATGCTATCTCGTGCCCTATATAGCATGTACAGTTGTTTAGTTTGCAACATAAAACCGCTCAGAAGGTTGCATTTCATCCATCTGAGTTTCGACAGTAATGCAGTACCTGTGTGAATTTTGAAAGCTAGCAAGTTGATGCCGAGCGTCCTGACTGATCGTCACCGTCGACTGCCATTCAGGAGGCGGCGAAACACACGCATGCCCTTCTAGACGCTTCCTTTGGAACCATCCTCGACAATCTTGTAACGGTCTGTGTGTCAGTGTGTCAAAGCTCTGAAAGACGTCACACGGGGGGAACAACACATGGGCACACGTTGTACTCCAAAGCGACTGCGCTTGGCTGGATCGTTACGAGCGGAGGACTAGAGTTAGCGACTTGCAATCCCAGCTTGTCCAAGACGAATTCTGTAGAGAAGCCCATACACAACAAAACGATGCGCAGTGCCACCTCATTGGAAACCCCGCAGGGAGCAAGCTACCCTGCTGCATCGGCTACGTTGAGACGTGGCAGATGACACCATGTCGGTGCACCAAAGCTCTTGTGCGTTTTTTTCTCATGCCCAGAGCGACACTATCACCACGAAGATAACTAGAGCGAGTGCAATGCACGACCCCACGATTGCCCAGAAGGCCTGCACTCTCAACAATAACCGTTAAGTGTACAAAAAGTGAAGCGCCGTCTCAGGTCGGGCAAAATATACAAGGAAAGGTCTTGATCCTAATTTGCAGATAGCATGTGTTGCCTGAACCATCCAAGAAACAAAAGTTTATCACCAATTTATACCAGTCTCTGCAACCCGGTACTTGTTCACAGATAAAGGCTTCTTCGGCCGAAGCGCTCACTTCCCGTTCCATCGTTTCGCCTTCCTCTTCATATCTGATCAAGCGAATACAAGCCCGAACGAGCACCAGAAGCGATGCTGGTGTGGGAACGCATCACCGGTTTATGTCGTGGATACCGGCAATCTGAATGCTGCTTGATCCCAAGCGAGGAGAGTCGCAGCCTCGAAAACGGAAACGTTGACATGAAATACCAGAATGTCATTCAGACTTAAGCACGAAAGATCAAAGAGAGCAGAGCCGTCTCCAACTACGCGAAGGACGACGATACGAAGCGTGTGCGGCCTACCTGGCTCTTCGATCGGAAGCTGCCCTTGGCCGTGAACCAGTCGAGACCTCGGTCGACCAACGGCGCCAGCAAGAGGGCCCTGCGGAACGAACGGAACGCGAACGGAATGTCACGCACCGGAACAGCATCAACCTTGTGTGTTGGACACAGTCATGAAGAGTCTCTCGCTTCTTCGACTCTTAAAAGAGCGCCCAGGCTGGTGGGATGCCTTGATGAGCTGTCACGTCTACGTGTCTGATTTGTATGACGGACTAATCAGAAGTGACAAGAGCCAGGTATGATAAGCTCCAACTAACACTAAAATCCCAACCCAACACTCTACGTGCTCCACACCCGTACCCACCCTTACCCCCAAACTAACCCCACCCCGTCCCAGGCTGGCGAGCTTATCCCTGCCGTTTAATATTCCTACATAAGTTCAAACTTGGTTTGTACCCGGTCAACCGATATAGGGGCACTGGACACTCCCTCTCGTCCGAATGTAGAAGATCGGAGCAAGGAACCGTGGCAAGGGCCTTGCTTGGGATATTGGTCTGGCGAACACTTTGAAGCACTTGAAAACATGAAAAAGGGACGTTTGACGAGTAACACAAAGCTTCGCTGGCGGAAGAGCGGCCTCTCGGACTGGTGCGTTCAGCTCGTCATAAAGGCTTAAGATCGTACAGAGTTGCACAACGGAAAGCATCTGTTTAGCTCTGGACAAAAGGGCGGAGCATCAACGTTGGGCCCCCATCTCCAACCGGTTTCTACAGAAGTGTTACTGTCAGGAGCACTCACCCCCCAGCTCTCAGTAGCTTCGTCACTTGACTCCCGGCCCACACCATGGCAAAGATCTTGATGAACCTGCGGGAGAATAGTAGTTATCAGCACTCCAGTAACTCTCGATTGTTTTGAGGGCCGATTGTTTCAAGGGATACACCCGGGGGACGGGTGGGGTTAGGTTGGGGGTTAAGGTGGGTGCAGGTGCGAAGCACGTAATGTTTTGGTTAGGGTTCTGGTAGAGGTACCCGGGTCTCATGCATCTTAAGATAATCCTCTGTTACAACTGTCTAGAGTTACCAGCATATTATCAGCAGCCGAGATCTGCTAGGCGTCCACATCCGCCCCTAGGAAACAGGCTTGCAATGGGCAGATTCAGTATCTTTTCACTGTAGACGTACCGAACTCCAGATGCAGATGCGCAATACGTGGTGACTAGCGCAAAAGAGTACTATGCATGTTAGAGTCAAAAACGCTCGAGTCTGTCGTGCCAGCACCGCGGACTGTTGTTCCAAAAATCGATGAATGTCATCGCCCATCACATTCAGGAAGTGACTGATCTTATTCCTACTTGAAAGGATTGGGGCTTTTGACGTTCTCAAAGTTTAAAAGCCAGATGTCAATGATGTTAAGCCGGTGCTAAATGCAGTAAGGGAACGATCACATGGACGAATCGAGGAAGCGCCAGATGAGTCCGAATGTTCATTAGACGTTTTCTGGAAACCCCTCAGCGACGTTGGAAGGTCGTACCTTTTAGCCGCCTGCGCAACGCCCAGCCCGCCAGGTGATGGTGAGACAAAGAACCTGCACACAAGCGGTCATGTGAGTATCGCCTCTGTGTCGGACTATGCATCTCGCTTTTTGACAATGTCTGGGAGAGTTGCTCGCCAATCCCGCTGTGTGTGAAAGAGGGTGGAAGTGCCAGCCAAAATCTGTCGGCACACACACATATGTCTTGTCCCCTCAGACCGTGCTTGCATCGATTTGTCAGGCTTGACCAAAGTCGTCCAACGAGAAGGGTCGAAAAAGCCGTACGCGCTAGGAACAAGAGAGTTTGAAGACCACAGAGCATTTGCTTGCAGAGCTCTCGAAGCGAAGAGAAATGTTCCAGTCGCAGCAGAAATAGGAGGAGCCTGGACAAGCATCACCACTTACAAAAAGCGATAAGCGGCAATCCGCAGACATTGCACGATGTGGTAACTTGCGCATAAGTTTCTGAAACCTATCCTGGTTATGCTTGACCACTAATTCAGACGGACTTGCCAGACAACTAGGGCCAGGGCAGACTTCAGTGCAAACGTACCAGACAAAGAGGAACGAGACCAGATAGTAGCCCGTGTTGAAGAGGCCGTATGAGAGGAAGCCCGCAAGACCAAGGTCCTTCAGCACCCCCCGTAATCTGCACAGAGAGTCTTGTGAAGCATATAAAGCTGTCGTTCATTGTGCAACTGTTGACATTCTGCTTCCAAAAGAAATCAGGCTGATTCAATAAGCAACTGTACCGAATTCATTTCGCGCTCCGTTTGTGAGGGTTCGAGCATCGAGAGTAGTAGACTTTCATCCTTTGGGCTAGCTCTGGTTTACGACCAAGCTGAAAACGCTGGTTTCCGCAACCAAAATAAGTCTTTGGTCAGTGATAACTGGCGCTGATGTACCAGTCGTCTGCAGCAAGCTCACTTAGAACTGGCAGAAGGTTGCAACGGGAGGCTCTGTTTATGTACCCTTCTGCTTAAATTGGTTCACAACATATCCAAGATTCGTAGTCAGCATGACAGCCCCACCGCCCTAGGTAACTCGAATATCTGCAATCCTCTCCTACCTGTCAATCGAAACCTTGTTCCATACCGTCCAGGCTTCTTTAGCAAGCTCTCGCATCACAATTTGCAGATGAACTGCCCCACCTTTCATACTCCGCTCGGTTCTCCGCCCACTTTCGCCGCACCCAACTGACCGCCTCTGGCGATTCTGCGCAGAGAGCATGGAAAGGTCAGACAACTCCAACAAAAACAAGGTGCTACGTCTTCACTTAGTGGGGCCGCAGCCAAAATGAAGTTTTTCCGTGAGGAGAACGTGGAGAGCGGAGTAGGGGGCATTGGGGCATTGGGGGGCAGGAAGTTCATACGACCCGCAAACTTGCTAGCAGCTGACTGCCGCGCTGCTTACGCTATCGTAGTAAGCCAATGTCCTGGTCAAAGCAGCGCTTTGCTCCACCTGCGGAAGCCCGCTCAAAACATAACTGCGGGGGAGGGCTGAACACAGATGGAACCCTGTTAAGATACAGAACTCTCCGGAAACTTCTGGTGACAGTCGACCACCTGGCAAGCCCTGAACTTAGCTGACACTTTGCGTGCTCACGCACTGTTTCTGCGCTCGATCAGTTTTGTGGCGGCTGTAGCGGCAGCACCAACAGGAATACCACCATATGACACTGTCTGTGTGACTCTGAGTGTGCCATTCGGCACATACATTTTAAGGGCTAATCTTGCTGATGGCGTGTAGGGAGCATTTGTTGACTTGGACAATGGCAAGCTACAGACAGGGCCCGACTTACACTTTCAGTATCATTGACTCAAACTCTTCTTGTAGAAAGTACGGTGTTCCAAAAACCTGGCATCTTGTTCTCACCTTCCGCAGCCTCCTTCGAGCTGCTGACATCCTCGGGCCTGCTGACGTCATCTGCTGTTGCTCCGCTTCTGCCAGGCTGCAAAGCAGCACCGGATTGACTACCCAGCTTTACAACGCGATTGTCTCCCTTTCGCAACACCACATTACCTGTGTCCCGAAGTTGAAACCAGTTTGTTCTGTGCTTCCAATGAGCTCGTCTTCCTTTCGTGTCTGAGACACTCCTTCGATCCGAAAAAGTGCGCGTGCTGACAGTATGGAGCGCGCAGCTTTGGAATCGGTTTGCAGCATGAGGTTGAGACTTTCCCGACCCCTCTGCTCTGCAGTCAGTTCCAATCCTGGCTGCATAGTCCCCAATGTGACCACAATGTGCGCGCAGGCCTTGCGCCTGACACTGCATTTTGAAGTGCGGAAGCAAAGTCGCAACGCTTGGTCCTGTTGTGTTTGAAGAGGTCTTCACAAATAAGTTTTAACTACTCTCTTCCAGGTTTCTTCTGCATGTCTTTTCCATGTGGTTCTCAACCTGCATGGCGGACTGCGAGCGTGGTTGGGGGACCCCCTTGCAAGGGACTCCCTCCGCCGCAGGATCTGTAACACGTGGATACCAGCACAGCCTGCAGCCGTCCGTTCTGACAAGACCCCACCTTCTGCCCATCGCTAGTTGCAATGTGAGGGCTGCTTTCTTTCCAAGAAGACTGTTGGTGTTCAAGTTTTCAGTTGCACACTAAAGCTCTCCTCCTTCCAATCTGCGGCGCAAGAATCCTGCAGAAAATGGCGATTGTCATGTGACATTCGGGAGCCTTCTGCGTAAAACCTCCTTTTTGGCGTCCTATCGCTGGAGAATTCGCAAGGGGCGCTTTCCTGAGGCTCTTTGGCGCGCAGTTCCTTACTGCAACACATGGTGCAATCTGCAGCGTTCTGCTTTAAGATCCTCCAGGTACAGAGCACGCGTGGTGCAGATTGTAGCACTTATGCCTGAAACATTCCTGAGATGGGCCGTGATCACTAGTCTACAATGTGAAGGATGCCCAATTGGGCATGACAAGCCCGCAATCAATTGACTTGGGTTACTGAAAGAAGGTGACCGCCACCTCCCGACCCTCTCAGCATGATCAGAATGTGAAGGCAAAGAAGTATTTTTCCTCTTTCATTGGATTTCCTTAGGGCAGCAAAGAGGGCTCAGCACAATTCAAAGCTCCCTCTTCAGCTCTAGACTTAGTACAAGCCTCAGCACTCTGTGAGCTGCGGGGTGCTGTAGGCCACACTCGAATCACAATTCGGATCAGCTTCAATTACCGTGGTGGTTTGAAATAGATCGCGCCTAGAGCTTGCACCATGCTAGAGGTCAGCCTAGTCTTTGCGCCGCCCGCTCAAGCTGCCAGCATCGAGGATGCCGAGCTTGGGTGAGGCTCGGCAGGCCGCCGACGTTATCTTCCTGGGAATCAACCTGAGCAAGCGCTCAAAGGCGGCCCAGCTTGGGATCTGCACGGGGGGGTTCTTTGTGGCGTACCTGATTGATGGGGTAGCGGAGGAGTTCGTCTATGCCAGGGCGGGTTTCAGGCAAGTTTCGTTGCGAAACCCTTGGATATGAGAGATGGAATTTCTCTTGGATCTTGTGCAAGTTTTCCGTGTTTGACATGTCGCTAGTGATCCGTATGCTTGGACGGACAGCTGTGCTGCGACCACGTCGAAGCTCTGAGTATTCTGCCCTTTACCTGGCAGATCGGAACTGATGGGAATGTGGCCGTCTTCGCTCCGAGTAGTTGCTTTCAGGCCATAAGGTCTGGGTTACCTTGGACTGTTGTAACTTGAAAAGACCCCTCGAAGTCGTACTGTGTTGGGTTTCTTTCAGGTTGGTTTTGTCTAAGAGGTGTCTAAGTTGTGTCAACGGGCAAGCGCACGCTTTAAATAGATGAAGGATCCTTTCCGGTGCTGAAAATCGGAATTATCTGGCAGGGGGCGTTGAGAGCCCTCTGCTGAGCAGCTCCTATGCAAGCATATATTGCTGTATTACACTCGGCCATGTGTCAGTTCAATCCAAGTCCCATCACAACAATCGCTCCGAATCCTGCCAAGCAACCTGCACAGTTACAATTTTTATTCGAGGGCATCTTTATTTTGAGGGAGGGTCTGACCCTTCTCAGGGGTCCACGTTTCCCATTCTGTAGGTCTTCCCTCTGATTTATTAATCCTGCCCTTTGAGCAGCGTTTCAACTGCATTTCTCTCGTACTTCAACAATTGAGAAAGGCATGTCTGTTTTTTACCCTTGCAAAATCGCCCTCTCATTTTCCCAAAGCGCCTGCTAACCCACTTCGACCCTCAGCTGAACCAATGTAGCTACAGCAGGCTTAGCCCCAAACATTCAAAGCTGCTTCGTTTCTTTCTTTACACGACCCTGATCAATCGGCTGCTTTTTTGAGAGCGCAGATGACCTCTCAACTTCTCCTAACCCTCCTATTCCTCTGCTAACCCGCTTGCAGTTATGGCTGGTACTTCACGCTCGTCCAAAGCTTCGTCTACATCCTCCTCATGACCCTGAACGGATTTCGCCCCAAGGACTGCGTTAACCCATGGACGACTTACGTCAAAATAGCTGGGATGCTCATGGCGTCAACGGGGCTTTCCAGGGGATCCCTCGCTTACCTCAACTACCCCGCCCAAGTCATGTTCAAGAGCACAAAGGTGAGCAAAGGTTGTGCAAAGCTGATGTCAAGTGATGAAATTGTCGAACCTACCCGCTATTCTGGCACCACGAGGAGATCTGGTCGCGGTACATGAAACTTAATTAATGAGGTCCACCTAGGAAGACGTACCTGTTACAACCAAAGTGGTTTTCAGTACAACTACGTGCGGAAGCAAAAACTTTTTCGAAGCTGTGGGAACGGGATTGATACGAGACATTACGAATGAAGGATGGGATGATTACCGCGTCCGCGACAGCCCTTTTATAGTCCGGACCTGGCGCATAGCTTATGCGCCGTACTATCAACTTTCTAGTCTACAACAAGTCTATGCGGACTCCGCAAAAGTTGGGAGTCGAATCTGCCAGCGTACCAGCTTAAACCACCGGTTATCGACCAGCTGGTTAGTGTCCTGTTCTATTGGATCAGAGAGTGCCACTCTGGCAGTGATCATGCCCCGAAAAAAATTACCCACTTCGCTTGACGCGGGCCCTTGCCTCCAGGCGCACTTCCTCTTTCCCCGACCTCGGAGTCTCCTCGTACTCTGCAATACGTTCTTCCCATAAGAACCAACCTTCCCTTCCTCCGATCACTCGCCCTCTTTCCACCGAACAGGTCATCCCCGTGATGCTCCTCAGCAACTGCCTCCCGGGGATCAAGCGCACATATTTGCCCCAGGACTACGTTGCCGCGCTCTCTCTAGTGCTTGGCCTCATCGCCTTCACGCTCGCCGACGCTGCATCCTCCCCACGCTTCCACACACTCGGCGTTGTGATGGTGCTCACCGCTCTAGTTCTTGACGCCTTCATGAACAACTTCACCGAGGCCATCTTCGCAACCGCGCCGCGCACCTCCCAAGTGAGCGGCTTTCCAGGTTTTCTGGTGAAAACACGTGTTTGCAAGATGTACCACCCGCTTAGATTTGTCTTAAGAAGTCTCATTGTACTCGAACAATCGCAGCCTTCGCTACTTTGTCACGCGCCTCAGGCGAGGTTGCTGCAGGCTAAGCTGAAGTGAAAAAGGATGATGACGTCAGCATGGTGAGGTCAGCTCCGGGGTGGGGGGTGACCGCGTGACGGAGTGTCGTCTTGCAGAAAAGCAAGGGGCATCGTGACGGAAGCAACGGCAATGCGTGGAAACCTAAGCAGCGTTTTCGAGCAGTGTCTGGGGTATCTCGCACCTGCTGGCGCCCCGCTCTTGCTCAGCTTTACGCAGCTTCAGCACACTCTACAATTCCTATCGGTAAATCGTGCAATACTCTCGGACTATCAATACGGTTGCTTTAAAGTCACGTACCGCTCATCTTCCCTGCAGACCGAGATGCTCTACTGTACGACGATCGTGGGGATCCCCTTCCTGGTGGTGCCCATGGTTGCGACTGGCGAGGCGACCAAGGCCTGGAGCGCAGGCCTGGCGCACCCCTACGTTTATGCCGCCCTAATCGCCGACGCGTTTGCCACATACATTGGGCAGCTGGCCATCCTGTCGATGGTGGCGTTATTTGGAGCGGGGACCACCGCAATGGTGGGCTAAGATCACTTGTTTTCCTGCTTGTTGGCGGTTTGGCTTCCGTCTTTCGAATGGGTCGACATGGTTGCAAACCCGCTCTTTGGGTTGTGAAACACCGCAGTATAAAGCACGAAAATCCTGACTCCTGGGCAGCTTTGAAGAAGTATTGCTGTCCTTTGGAGTTCGTTTGTACTTTTCCTCCTTGCTGTTTGGAGCGGGAACACTACGATGTTACGCCGCGAGTCCCGAGGTGTCTTAAGAAATTATCTTTTCAAATACGTTGACGATCTCTGGCCGGACACCGCAGGCCCACGTTTCCCTTTGTATGTTCACTCCTGCGTGCATGTTTCGTTCCAAAGGCACAACTGACGAACAAGAATGCTCGGTTGTCTTACCTTCGTCAAACCTCAGTGATCTGCGTGCAACATTTTACGAAGTTGTGGGCCTTATCCTTATACTCGACTTTACTCTGACTCTTCCTTTTGGTGCATAATCCTCATCGGTGCTTCTTGTACAAACGGCCATATTTATCGCACCCTTCAGAAGCAAAACGTCACCGTTCAAACATCAGCAGACTGACGTCTCTAGTTCAGGGTAGCAATCCGTTTGAAAGAGGCAGTCAGTACGCAAGATCATCTTGTCTTGACACAACCGTCGTGTCATTTGCCAACCAGGCAGATGTGTCAGGACAAACATTCGAAAATGCGGCGACGCCCTCACACAAGACGTCGCCGTCATAATTCTGGGGCCCGCCTTTGGCAGAAAGATCAATGCAAACCCTCTTGGACGATTCAAAGTGTCAACGTTGGGGCCTGCCCCCATCGATCGACGATTTTTTGAACTTTTGTTGCCGGGCCCACGAGCGTCCCTACTGACTGCAAGCAATTCAACTTGTTTGCAGGTGACGACCCTCCGCAAGGCAGTCAGCATCCTGCTGTCATACGCCATCTTCACGAAGCCCCTCCTGGGCAAACACGTGTTGGGGCTTATTCTCATGGGCTTTGGAATTTTGCTGAAAGGACTTCCTCAGGAAATTGCGCTCCCACGCAAAAGTAGAGCCCCCCAAAAAGTTCACACCGCGTTGTTGAAATCTGAAGGGGGCACTGCGCCTCTACCGGGCTTGCATCGCACCTCGCGACCTGCGCCGGCATCTGACGCCGCTTACCAAGTTGTGCCAGAAGACGATTCTGAGGCAGACTCCCAGGCGGCGCTTCACGTGACGTGATGGTGACGCTTGCGAACCGCGTGTGTAAATATAAGGGGTTGCGTAGGTACGCAAGAGCATCCGCCACTTGGGGATTGCGAGTGGGTCGAAATTGAGCTCCCAGGTCGAAACAAGAGGTCAATCAAGGAGGTGCTTTCAACTGCCTGCCGCTAGCTGTCAGAAGGACAGTCGACGGATCGACGACCCCGAAAGCTAGGGCATGTTGGAGGGGTGCTGAAAGCGAGTACTAATGCTGGGTTGGGTTGAGTCAGCGGCTGAACTGCCGACCCAGGTTCGTTGCGATGTTAAAAAGGTATTTCAGATGTCCGGTGTTGCATCTTGCCAACTTCTTCTGAAGCAAAACGAATTTTTAACGTGATGCTACAGTCCTGGCCGGACCGGTTCCCTCATTGGCTTGAGTATGTCTTGCAACAATTAAGCCTGTACATAATTTGCACTTCATGTATTCAGCTAGCTAGGGCCTGCCGACTCAAGAGACCCAAAAAGCTGCAATGCCTGAGCAAAATTGAGAGTCCCAGTGCTCAGATATAAACGCAGTGTAATCAGTGACCCCGCGATTTGTACAAGAATGGTCACAATGACGTTCATCAATTGCTAATCTCCGCTATCATGATATTCGTGCACACCGTACTCTGGCTTTATTCAAGTTGTTAGTACGTATAGTATACAAACATTTGGAAGCCTACCTTCCATTTGCCTAATTCGCAGATTGCGAGACAGATTCTCCTGCATAGGAATCCAGAATCAGAAGCCTGAGGTAAGTTGGGGCGGCCGGTGAGGGCCTAGGGCATGGTTTGCACAAAGTCGTGCTGGGAACATAGGCCCAATTGAAGAGCTCAGAGAATCGAGTAGTGTTACATTGATGCCTAATTTGCACGACCATGGCCCTTTGACATCGGATCTCTCTCATGCAAATCGGTGACATTTGCACGACATCGGAGACGAGACCACGGATCGACGCAATTGTACAATATACAGTCGCATGAGACATATACTTCGAGAACGTGGAGCAAGACTGCTCGTACACGTACGGGCAAGCTAGCCGCCTATTTAGATCATGCATGCGGATCATTAGGGCATGCTCCAATTGATCCAATATGCGTTAGCTAAACAAGACGGTTCGGACTAAGGCCGGCACCTAATCCAGCCGAAGAATTACCATGTGCGGCGAGCCTGCCAATGGATTGGGAGCGCCAAGCGAAAAGTACTATAACTACACACCTAGCTAACGGCGCATGCATGGCCACATAGGGTCAGAATATACAAAAAGTAGCCCTAGATGCTTTGGTCGGTACATGCACACATCGGTTGCCCAATGATGATCTTCTCCGATTTTACGGTTGCCCAATGTTGATCTTCTCCGATATTCCGGCCTGGCGGTGCCGTAAAGGCAAAAGACTCCAGCGATGGCTCAACATCGAGTTCCCAATTCAGCTAGCTCCCGGCTTACCATGGCACCCGCTTCGATGCATATACAATGGGAATAACAGAACCACGTTGACTTGGTGCCGCCAACACCAGATCATGATTGGGCTGCCAAACAAAACCTCCTTGTCGGAAGCACTAAGTTTACCTATCCTTGCATATCAATCATTGACAGAACCTGCTCCAACTGAAAGTCTAAGTTTACTGGACACATCCCAACTGTGGCGGGGTTGGCTCGCAACTTTGAAGCTGCGGGTGTGCCTGGTCATATGTCACGACCCGCCAGATGTAGCGCCTGCAGCCAAAAGGTTTCATCCACTATGTACTTGCCATCACCGTCTTTAAATGTAGGCCCAAGTTCATGAGATCTCTTAAGCTAGGGAAGTGGTCTAAAACCCCTTTTTGAAAGTATTATCAAATATACTGCAAGAAGAAGCGTAGAGAGTCCGTCTTAAGCAGATGCAGAAGATTGTTGCCACCTAGTAAATTTCGCATGAAACGTTTCATGAGACATTTTGAAGAAACATAACATTCATTCAAGGGGCCAACCAGGGATACAGAAGACAAAGCGTAATCAGATGAGAGGAGAACCTTTAAAGCATGGCGCAGGGTCACCTTGCCTTCCCTAGAGCAACTTCGAGCTTTCATGGGCCGCAAGTCCCGTAATCCAATCTATGCTTCATCCGGCCCTGCAAGGAGAAGGCGAAGGTTATATCAACACGTGATTGTTTTCAATTGGCAGAAACGCCGCTCTTGCGGTCGCACTTCCCGCGGTAAGAAAGACCGCTCTTGACATTTGCCACATTGCTCGCACATCAATCACCGATGTCAACTTTGTGCGCACGCTGATGTCCTCTTTTCAATCCTGCTGAAAAGAGGTATTATGGTCCCGCACTAGAGATGATTGTCAAACTAACAGCATGATCTACACGACTGGCAGACAGACTTTCACGAAGCCCGCAAATCGAGCCGCAACAATAAGCACGGGCGTGCACTGTAAACACCTCTTCTGCTCGATGCTTTCTTATCTGCAGATGCTTGGGGCCAATGAAGACTCGAATGGCAGCAAGCATTGCAACAAATTGTCTCAAGTATGACAGCCTCTTGAAAACCTTGAGCAGAGGGCCTGATGAGGATAATCTGCTTGCATACCTTGATCATACTTCAATCCAACTGATCCTCCCGGTTGTACTTTAACGGCGGAGGTGGCGCATCTGCCCCTTTGACTGCCTCCGCCGCTTCTGTCCTCCGTGCCCTTTTCCAAGCAAGAACTTTTGCATGTTGGCATGTTTTGCATGCGTACGAGAGGCCATCCGCCAGCCTTATCTCTCGGTAAAAGTCGCCCGACTCTTTCATCTTGTTGCACGTGCGGCATCGCTTCTCAGCCCTCGGAGCAACTGCCTGCCCCGCAAACGCACGCCGGCGCAGATGCAAGCTCTTATTGTACTCCTTACTGCACACTTTGCACATGAGGCACAGCCCGCTCCGCCGCGTCTTGTCTGGATTGAAGTCCGCCGCGGGCTTCATCTCCTTGCAACGCCTGCACCACTGCGGCCCATCTTGCGGCTCTCTGTTGGGCTGCGCCTTTGCTGCAAGGCACCCCCGACACCAGCGAGTTAGCCCATCTCTTGTATGCTTGTCTCTTGCAAAGTCTCGAATCTCCTTCATTCGTCCACAATGCTTGCAAGCTTTCGCGCGGTCCCACGCCTCCTTGATGCTGATGTTGAGGTGCCCCAATTCCTGCCCCAGCTGCTTGGCACTGCATACGGCCAGGCAGGCTCTGCACGAGTCTGTCAGCCCATCGGCACTTGTCCTTGTGGCTTTAAAATCTGGCAGCAACTTCAGACGCTTGCACTCTAGGCACTGCTTGCTTGCGATTGGGGCCTCACTGTGATCATTCAAAGAGCCAGCCCCTAGCTCTGCCCTGATTACCGCTGATCCTTTGAAAGAGAGAAATCCCTCGAACGGCCACCTATTGTGGTTTAGGCAGACACCCTTGGCTCGCCCTCGATTGCTGCCAACGTTTCTTCTCCTGAGCAAGGTGTTGCTAGCGAGCTGTACACAACCAGGCTGCAGACGCAAGAAGTAAGGCCGTGCTAATGAAGCACCGGAGATTGGCGCATAGACGAGGCAACATAAAGCAAGTTGGCGCTGAAGTGTCTGGCCTCTCTGTCCTGCCAAGTGCCACTGTTTCACACTTATGATGCGAATACTCTTATCTGCTTGCTTAAATGGTGGTGCCGCTGACATTGTAGGGCAAACGGAGGCTCGAGCTGCAGCCATTGTGGAATGGAAAAGAAAATCACCTACTTTAATTTCAAAGTTACAGCAGGTTGCTATGTGATCCGTTGTGCATCCTTGCAGAGGCTGCGGAGTAAGCGCAAGCATCAATGATCAAGCAGACAAACTGCTTGAATGTGATTCTGTGTGACCATGTGAAGAGCCCCGCCCGACATTGCCAGCGGTTAAGACTCATAGAGCGTTACGCTAAACCCAGCCCATGAACGTCATACCCGTGTACCGGCTTATGAGACCCGGCTGTCTTTTTTTACAATAATCTACCAATTCACTGCGGACCTCTTCAATATCCAACTTCCTGTCTGGCATGAACCTGGAGTTTCCAAGTAAATTTTGACTCCAACCGGGGCGGACTTTTATCGACGGTGCTCAAAGCAGACCCGAGAACAGGAGAGTATGGATCGTACGGTCTGCGGGGTCAAGTCGACTTTCGGCGAGAGCGAATTTTCCGAGCCTAATCCGATGGACGGAAGTCTGCAGATTTGAAGTCCCGTTTCCAGGTCTTGCTAGTCTTGACAGAGGAGCTTTCAGCTGGCGCCATGGCTGCCAGCTGGAGCTGATGTGCAGCTGGGGCAGCATGCACAAAGCTTTTCTGCAAAATGTAACGGAAGCATGCCACCCCCAATCCTTGGCCAACCTCACTTATCTGTTTTTTGTGCATGTATTTGCCGCACCCTTTCCCCCCAAACCAACTTTGTGTTTTGAGCCTAGAGTGAACCCTAATGGCAGCCATAGCGGTTTCAAGCAAGCTGGGGAAGACCCCCGAAGGCCAATCCAGAAAAATGTAACGGAAGCATGACATCAGATTGGTCATGGAGGTCCGGAAAAGCCATTTTTTGCAATGAAAAGGACAAGGTGCTTTCCCCCCAACTGCCATGTTCGCCCATGAGCTAGGTAAAAATGGTGCGCAGCCATGGCAGTCAGCCTGTTGGTCTTGCCTTCTTCCTCGTTGGTCGTCTTCCTCCTTGTTACAGCCAGCATCTCGGGACAAGCGTTTTTACCGAGTCGTTGCTCGGTCCGACCGGCGGCCCCCGGGGCCCGGAGCTGATGGCTTTTGAAACCGTCAGATGAAATCTTGCAGAAGATCTTGGACTCGTAACCGTCCGATGACAGAATTTACTTGAACATCCCAGGGGACAGGATGTTCATGCCAGACAGGAACTTGGAACAGTTGGAAAACCGGCCGGCTTGTGACCCGCGAGTTATCGAGGATTCCAAACCCATCCATCTGGCGACGGTCGCGTGCAATTGGACATCATCAACGGCTAAAAATAGGAACTGACTGATTTCTACTCTATATTTGACGGTGTCGATTGTGTGCGATGACGCAATTTGTCTGTGCGCGCGTAACTGCTTCGTCCAAAACTTGCGTTGTAGATCAGTACCACGTCGGATACCGCTCAAGCCACGATACCATTGATAAGACTTAGATCAGATCTGCGCGCGCGATTACCTAGCTAGGTAGACTAGGACCTAGGTAGGCAGAGGTAGGTACGCGTGCTGCACTGCAAGCTAGGTAGGTATACGGTACAAAGTACTAGGTAAGTTCTAATTCGCTGACGGTAGTTCTCGCAGATCTGAAAGGTGGACACTGGACTCAAGCGTCGACCTACAGGTTGTAGTACAAAACGTACCATCATGGAAATTGCAAAAGCTTTTCCAAGTACCAACTTAGGTAGGTATAACCAGCGGCTCAATCGGTGCTCAATCCACTGAATCCATCAGTGATCCATGATGCAGGTCCATTTATATCGCGCCAAAGCCCGCCGTCAGCAGGTACATGATACATGTACCTCAATCGTACCTCAGTGGATACTAGCGCCGTGTAGTATCTATGATTGGTCTCCTGTATAATGAGTGACTGAAACTCTGTCTACATGTTTTCGTACTGACGTAGCCACGGAGCAGTGGGTACGAGTCTTCATCGCGTTGCAGCTCAGTGGTTCACCTATGGTTCACCTACTCCCTCTTCAATCTCAACAAGTTCGTGACGCAAGTTCTCAAGATCGACTGATGCATGCAGCCGCGGACAAACGGCGGACAAAAGCCTTTTCGAAACGAAGTTGATATTGAAGATCCGAAGGGCCTTGCAACTTGCAGGAAGGTGACATGCACCCGCCGCGCCGCGGCAATCACTGGCACCAATGTCAGATCGACTACCCCAGTGACTATTTATAGGCAGCGGTCAAGGAATAGCCTTGGGAGGGTTCTGGGCCTCAGACAGCTGCTGTATGGCGAGGCCCCGGAGTCAATCATGGCCCATGGGTTCCATGTACCTCCATGATGATCTGAGATTGGAAAGGCAGTTTGTTACAAGGTAGCTGGAACGCTCCACAACCGAGCTCCAGTTTGAGACGACTTTTGCAGCAGATCCATCTGTCACACAACCGACCTCGCGCTACAATTCAAGCCCCATCAGATGCGGAGCTTACCTCCCAGATCTGCACCAATCATGGCCCCGAAAAACGTCAGGACGCCTGGTTACCGCATTTTGCTCCTTATGCTCGGAGCATCTCTTCTCATGTGCGAGGCGTCTGCCACTAGCGCGCCGCGGTCAGACACGTGTCAAGGACAGGCCGACGCCAAGTGCAGATACAATGTGAGCCCAGGCGATGTGGCTCCGCTGTCCGCGGAACTGCCTGAACAGATTCCGTATGGGATCCCTCTCTTCCCGTCTGTCGTGCGGAGAAAAGCTGGCGAGATGTGGAACAAAGCCCGATTGGGGGGCGAACATCAGTGAGTGGCAAGCCCAGCTGTCTCTCTGGTTGGATGAGAAGTTTGCTTCGTATTGAAGCATGAGGGAGTCATACTTCATTCGCAACATCAAGGGTTCTCTTTGCACGGGTCCAAAGCGACTTGACATGAATGACGTCAGGACCTTGCGGCGATGCTTGTCCTTGCAGTCCAAAATATTCCGAAAATCTCCTCCACAACGTCCGTTCTTAGTAAACACTGCAAGCTCCCAACAAGTAGAAGAGAAGACACTCTCTTGGCATGCTTGCAGCGGACGCACTTACGAAGATGCTCCTTGCAACGACATTGGAGGCTCGCTGAGCTTGCACGTTGAGACGACGACGGAAAGTCTGGTTAGCAAGGAGGAACAGGTGGGCACTGGGTCATTTCGACTCGAAGCTCTGCTTTGATTTCAAGTGACTGTAGATGGTGATCTACTGAAGCTCGTGCCTTGTTCTGTTTTCAGCGGCAGCAACTTTCAAAATAATTCTGAACGCGTGACCAGGATTTGTGAAAAGAACCCCCTCTGATTGTTCTCAGGCTTTTCCCCGCCTGTATAAATACGCGATATATATCTTATCTTTCTCCGGAAGACTACAGGGCAAAGCAAGTTTGTCTAAGCTGAGATGGGAGGGTTCCCCATCTTATTGTAGTAGTAGCTCTTTCCGCTTGCTTCTGCTGAAGCACTGATTCGTCAACCGAGACATCTCCATCTCTGCAGAGAGATCTTCTTGCGGGCATCAACTACCGCATCGTCTACAATCTCACCGTCCACTTTCAGTGAGTCTCCTTCAGCCAGTCGCGCACCGCGTTTTGCCTTGTACTATTTGCTCAGATTTAGATCAGCACGATCCTAAGAGCGTTTTGAAACTCAAACAGTCTTCTCCTCTCCCTCCCTGCTTTCCACTTTGTCTTCTAGGAGTAGTTCAAGTCTGTTCAGTAGAGTCGGCGCTTGGGCGCTTGTGATTACACTCTTCACAAATCGGAGACGGTCTTGCTCGCCCATCACCCTTTGCCACTCCGAGACACTGCAATTCCTCCTAAGAGCCAACGTCGAGCTCGTACATAATCTCTCGACGCTCTTTGCAGTGTCTTGGAGTGCTCCACTGAAGAAGGTGCCCTTTTGGAGCTTTCCACCGACCACCCGACCGCTTGCACCGTCTCTACCGAGGAGCGCGCGTTCAGCTGTATGGGCGCGCCACTGTGGCACGAAGTCCGAGGCTGGACCGCCGTTTATCGCCACCACAGCAACGGCAGCATCGGGAGTGAAGCGCCTGAGTTCCTCTTCGAAGGAGCGACTCCGGTCGCTGCACCCGACGAACACGTCGAGAAGTTTTTCAGTGGCATCATTGGTCAGGTAAAAACGGCCGCGATCTGTTGGGAGTCGAGCAGAATCCAGCTAATCCTTTTTGCCTTGCATCAAAGAGTTGACCGGGCACTCAAGTGCGTCCCCGTTCTGACTGACGGCAGTCGTTCAGCGGGGTGCAGGGAACTTTTCTGAAAGCTTTGAAGCTCTGAGGGTTTGCGTAAAAGTCCGAACTGTCCAAAAGCTTTCAGCGGTTTGAAAGGAGGCAGAATCAAAAAGCACAGCACCCGCAATCACATCTGGTCCTCGAGCCTCAAGCGACTTCGCTTGACGAGTGGCTATGAGGCCTATACCTGCTACTTCGGATTTCCTCCTGCACGAACAAGTTGGACTTAAAGAAGACAATCTGTGTTCAGCGCCTACCATTTCTTCAGCGTACTCGATTTGCACACAAACGTCCTGAATATGTCAGCCTGTTTGTGGTTGCACTTTGCAGTTCGTGAAGTCACAAGCGGAGTTTCGATGCATTTTGTGCAGATGCATTTCGACTCAGGAGCTGCGTCTAAGTTGGACACCGAGGGAGAGCTGGTGGAAGGTAAGGGTTCAAGGCCACTTCGCTGTAAGGCCGTCCCCTGTTATGCACGGCTGAAACATGGCGTTTAAATTTATACCTTAAAACGAGAGCTTGTCTGGAAGCAGACGAGCTTGACTAGTGCCAATCGCCACATTTGTCCCGCTGCGTTTCCGATGATCCCTCGAGTCGCCGAGCTTCGCCTCCCTTTAGGCAAGACGACATTGTCAAGACCTGACGAACGCATTTACAGGAAGGTTTGGCCGCTAACCAGGTTCGATCATCAAACTTCAGTCTGGTTCTTTGACCAATAACCGCTTTATAGCCATGTTAACAACCAAGTAATACTGCTCGAGTCTGGTCATAACCAGCTTCGAACCAGCCCGTAACCGACTATGGTTATTCGCCGAAAAACCCTGTGATTTCGCTTCCTCCTGACAGAATCCGAGCACCCGGATCACATCCATAAAGTTCAGAAGGCTCGTCTGGAGAGTGAAGAAAAGGCGCACGGTTCGATGGGCTTTCGAGAGGTAAGCCCACACGAACAGGCTCCTGATCAATATTTTTCCGAAAGGAGGCCTTTTGTCAGCTTCATTTGCAACCTGGAAGATTGCTATAGCAGAAAGTATGTGGCAGCCTTCGGCGTGCCAAGGAGAAAAGTGACCGGTAGATTCAGCTTGTCTGAAGCCGGCCGGCGTGATCTAACACTCAGAACAAGTTTCACAAGGTTCTCATGTCATCCGATCAAGAGCCATCCCAACGTGACGTGTGCCAGACGATCCCCATCCTTACAAAGAAGTTGCGAATCCGGGTTGCTTTGCAGAGCCGTTACTTGGAGCCCAGAACTCCAGGGCGCGGCCACGTGTTCGTCCCTCGCGCGTCAATCGCGCACACGTTTTTGCACCCGGAACGGGGCCTCGATTTCAAGCAGATTCACGAGATCATCGAGCTTCCCTCCCACGCCGGGGAGGGCTTGGCGGCATTCTCCCGGTGAGTTGGCCGAGAGCTCCGGGACGTCAACGGAAAGCCCTGAAAGTTGAACTCACAACGTTCTCGAAACAGAGAAGATCTGCCACTGAAAGGCTAGATACCTAATATTTGCTCCAGCATGACTGAGCTTCTTCCGTTGCCACGTGAGGTAAGATCCATATCTGATCCACGTCCAAATCTTGCTGAAGAAAATACAACCGGCAGTCTTATTGCCCAGGATTTGATCAAAGGCGCATCGATCATTTGATACTGCATGGTCGATCCTGATTGTCCTCAGCTCGTGATCATCGAGGTTACACGCGACAATCGGAAAAGATATGCATTTCGGTCGGCCAGTAACATACTCGTCGGCATCAGCAGGATCCGCGCCCTTCGCTTCACTTAACCTTTGCCTTCACCACCGCTTAGCAAACGCAGACCCACTGACATGAGGTTCTGAATCAGTTTCGAAGGCCAGACGCTTTGGAAACAGCAAACCGTACATGATGTTCTGGACAAATTTGAAGCCCCAACGAATATAAGTGCAAGAATTGCATGCTAAATTGACAACCGAAACGATCGTCAAGATCCTGAAAGCTTTGCCTAGGGTCTCCCCTGCCGCATGGATGACGGCCCCCTACCCCCTCGGCTGCCCTTGCAGTATCTCAGTGAAGAGCACTCTGGGAAGCGCTCACCTATACACCACGGAGGCCCGCGCACATATGGACTCTGTCAATTCGCTCTACCCTGGCGGAAACTACACAGCACACGCTTTGGGCTTGGTTGCTGCGTACGAGCGAGAGGGAAGAAAGGCGCGCTTCCTAGCGTCTGACGGTGGCAATCAGGTGGGTGGTATAATTGGTCGGCCGCTTCTGTTGTTGATGTGTTGAACTCTAAACTTTTCCTATACCGTTATGTTTGGCTGGCACGTGGCGGTAGTGATATGCAGTTAGAAGTGAGAAATTACGTACGTGTCAAGCACGCAGCATATGCTGTACCTGACTCAGGGAGTTGCCTCTTTTGCTTGACGATTCATTCTGAGCTCACCGACTACAAGATTGTGAATCGAATTTTCTCCGTGTTTGCTAGCAGAACAAGGCTGAAAGATGAAGCGAGGTCTTCTGTAGCGCCTTTTTACTTTTTCTGCATCGAGATAGGACCGGCATGTTTTGTGTTTCTTACAACGCAATAGTGAACAGAACCATCAAAACAAGCATCTTTTGGCTCTACAGAGCGCAGCCTGGTCGGCAGACCTGTATCGCGCGAGCTGGTCCCTCTCTCCCTCGTCCGGAGTCGCGGGCAAAATTGCGGTGACGCCGAGCATAGTCGCGTCCATGTACGGCGGCGCAATCGACTCCACCGGAAACGGAAACGGAAACGGAAGCGCCGCCGCGGTCTACTCGTTCACCGGCGCGCTGAAAGCGGGCCTTTCTGCCACGCTCTTCGGAACCGACATCGACCTTGCGTCAGTGTCTTTTGACATTTCGCCTTCGTGGATGAACAATTCGAATGTTTTCAACGTGTCTTATGGGGCCGCGCTGTCGTTCTGGGGCGGCGGGGACCGCGTGGAGACCATACAGCTCGCGCGGAAGCGTCTCAAGCTCGGTGAGCGCGCGCGCGCGCGCGCGCAACTTCCTGGAAAAGAATCTACTCATCGGAGGTCGGATACCATATGGCGGCCGGCGCTCTGCCTTCCGCTTGAAGCGAATCGTGCTTTAGCTTCGTGTCTAATGAGAGCGGGCGGAATATTGATGACCTTGCAGATGGTTGGACGCATCTTCCAGTTTCTATGTCTGATGTTCGTATCCTCCTCGTTGTACATCTCTAATTACAAACATCGTTACCATTTAAGAAGCTGAGGGAGAAGAGGGCGACACGCCAATGACCTTTAAAGGCATCTTTGACAGACGACTCCCACAATCTTGTCAAGCGTCAATGGCCGTTTCCCAAAATCGTATACGTTTCCTTTCCGTGCAGGCTCCGCAAACGGAGGTCCCCTGAACGTGACCTGCGACCTGAAAGCGGACACGCAGAGCTTCGAAGACATCGTACTGACAAAGAAAAAGGAGTTCTTCAAACGAGAGTTCCAATTCTACGCCGCGGGAATTGTACCGGTCGTGGTGGGCGTGGGGATCCAAGGAGAGCTGCAACCGGTTGTTGCTTTCTTGGGCTGCTACCGGGATAACGCCCCGAGAGTTCTTGTGTTTGCTGGGTTTCAGGGGTTGCTGGAGGCGTCGGGATCGGTGGGCCTCGGAGTCAAGTGGATCGAGGTGGTGGGCGCGCAAGGTAAGGGTGTTTTAATCCTGCCTTCGTTTGCCCTCTGTATTCATATCAAGCTAGAAGATTTAAGAATTGACTGGACTCTGATTTGTTTTTTGTCCGGTCCTTACGATTCGTTGTCTAAGTCGGCATCTGAAATTTTGGAGTTCGGGGGGAGTCCTTGAATACCTTTCGGGACTGCCTTCCTAGATCGGACATCCAGATTCGATTGCTTTGCTTTACACATCTGCCCATATTGGCAAGTAGTGCTCCTGAAGGAACGCCTCAAAGCCAGGGTCAGACCCTTGCATAGTAGTGCGCGTCTTTGCCTCGGTGCCACAAGGCAGAGACTATAAAACTGAAACTTCGAAGGCGATACGTGCGTGTCAACCGTGATTGAATCAAACGCCTCCAGTGCTTCTTCAAAAAGACCGTTTCGCAAGTGCTTAGTATCAGGCGATCTCTTGATCGGGCCTTCGCTTCCTAATCAATCCTCTTCCCCGGGCCCCCGCGCAGTTACGGTGTCGCTCCTGTCGCTGGGGGGCCGCGGCGGCGCGGATTGGAACCCCCTGCAAGTGGTGGACCACGCAAGCCCGCAGCCCACATGCATCATCGGGCGCGCAACCGCAACCGGCCTCGGCGTACAGGTGTCACTCTTCGCAAAGGGCGTTCTCTACAAAACGCGCAAAACGATCTGGAGCAAGAAGGCGACGAAACTCGTTGACACGTATCGAAAACTCTGCGGTCGGGACGTTGGCGCCGGGTCTTCGCCAGGCCCTGCCGCGCCGACTGACCCCCAGTCGGGGAGCGGCCAGCCGCCCGCCCTGCCGGCGTTTGCGGCTGGTGCGCGATACGCTATGGACGCGTGCCCGAGCGGATTTCGAGACTGCGATGCGCGGCCGGATACGGGCTGTACGGACATTCTGTTCGACGATCAGAACTGCGGGGAGTGCGGTCAGCAAGTCCCCCGGGGAATGATGTGCTACAAAGGTTACATGGTGCGGGTTCCGCTAGACCCAGCTGTTGTGGTGGCGAAATATGGAGGTTATTCCCCGCTCGAAGCGCGCGTTCTGCCGGCGTCGGGCGACTTACGTAATATTTCGTGAGTCTCCAAATCCTACAGATTGCTGTCTGCCCAGATCTTGTGAGATCCGTATTTCCAGTGTAGGTTTTTGGTCTTGATCGAAAGCACCACGATTACCGGTCGACAGGAAGATTGATGTACAGACTTCGCACAGCTTCGCACAGATCGCTGCTTTGAGGGCAATGAGAACAATCCGTGCTTGAGAGAACCGGGTTGACCTGAAAAAATTACCGTCGAAGGGGTTGATTCGATCGCTCTGTTCCTTGTAAGATAAAACGCACGAATGTACCCAATCAGAAAGACACTGCTTGATATCAGAACAATGCCCTCCTCGATTCAATCTCTACCGTTTGAACTCAATCCGAGATCGTTAACATTCTGTGCCCTCAATCTCTCGAAACTCTGTGAAATGTATCTCTTCATTCCGTTCCGTTCCGCTGCCATGTGCAGCCAGCTGACGATCCACCTGCTGTACAACCCCGCCACGATGGCCACGTCGCCTGCCATCCCACCGATGATGTTCGGCAACAAGTGCTTCATCAACGGCGTGGATGTTACGCCCACGTGTTCCGGCGGAACAGCGTGCCGGAATTCCGCCGGTGCCACCACTCTGAGCACCGTCAGTCGGAACGACCAGCGAACCGACTACTCGCCGCCTCTGAACTACGGCGTCCCGGCTTACATGTTCACGTTTGACGTCAGCGCAGCGGGCAGCCTCCCCGCGTTTTCCTCCGGGGGGCTCTGCATTTATTGCGACATTATGGACGTGCCCTCGCTTGGTTGGCATATGCCGTGCACCGGCAAGCTCGAAGACGGAAGCCTGGTGCCCGGGGGATGCGATCCGGCGGTCCAGGAGGCGGTTCCGCCGAGCGGATTCCGGGCGTCGTATTCGTTGGCCAGCGTGTTCGGCACGAACACGCTGAGTAATCTGGTAAGAAAATGGGTTTCGAAAGTGTGCGGAGTGCAACTGTGAATGGTGAAGTCAAGGTTCGGGTGACCTACAGGTGTCTTTTCTGCTTCGTTGCATCAACCGAGGAGAAAAAACTTCTGAGACCAGTTTCTGGACTACTGCGAGCAGCCGCCTCGAATAGAGCATCTTATCTATCCAGCCTTCATAAGTTCAGCATGAAAGTACCCTATGTTGAGATTGATCTGGACGAAGCAGTGGGCTCTAACAATCCGTCCAACTTGACCAGCCACAGTGGCGAAGTGACATTGACCCGGCCTGATTTTACGGACGAAAGAGTTCGGGTTTCTCCATTTGAGCGAGCCCTCCAGCAATACCGCCCGCATTTCTTCAGTCCGTTCTTTAGCCCCCCGCGAGATACGGGAGCTCAGCTTGACCAGGCGTCAAATCATAATGCTTGAACAGATCCGGAACGGTCTCTCTCTGGCCACCGATGGGGATCTGATATGCTTTGACAGAGCAAACCTGATCGCCTCTACTTTGATTGGACGTCGTCATTTTGCTGATCACTTATCCAACAAAAACCAGTTCTAAGTACATGCTTGACTGCCGTCCAGGGAGGTGACACAAGCTGCATCATGAACCAGTACTGCGAGTGCATCACTCCGGGCGAAGGGGCGAACGGCACACAGCCCTACTCGGAATCCTCTGGCGGGGGTATTGACCAGGTAATTTTGAGTTCTGCATTCGCCTCTGGCGCTTCACTCAAGAATTTGATGGAAGAATAAAAACACCCTGATAACGTAACCGCGTTCGCCTTGGTCCCTTTTCAGGAAGGATGTCCGTATCCGAGACCGCCTCTTCAGCATTTTCTTCGCTTGCAAATTGTCTTTCTGTGCCGGTACTTCAATAGCGGCAGCTCGGCTTTGGGCTCAACTCATCTCAGATGTTCACAGGCTACATTACAATCCTGAGTCTCGCTTCCAGCCGCCTGCCCATCTATTAAAGGTGACTTATACAAGCATTATTTTACTTTTGCAGAGTGAGAACGGTTCGAACGGCGACACCAAGCTTGGTGGCGGGAGCTTCACCAGCGCCGCTAGTCCTGCAGCCAGATCAAGCTTCGCTTCCCGCTGCGTTTGGGCGGCAGTTCTGGCCGGGGTTGCGAGGGTTTTAAGCGCGCAATAGCTGCGGGAGTAAGCGTTGAACAATCGTAGCTAATCATGTACCTGATAATCTGGCTGTTTCCTAACGAATCCTCAAAAACATCAGGCATTCTTTCACTCCGCCGCGATCCGCGCCGAAATACAGGCATGAATAGGATAGAACGGGAAGGATATTCGCCGTTTCCTACGGGTACAAGTTATTGGTGCTTGCAATATTCTGTAGCGGCGGATTGTTTGACAATTTTAAGAACAAGCGAGCGTAGTAGACTTTTAACGGCTGCGTGGAGCCGAAACTTGATTTCTTGAACCTCGATCTGGTTTGAAAAAGAATTCAGACCGGGAGCTGGTTACGATTTTAGTACCAATTCCAATAGCAGCAGCGCAAAGCCACCGACTTACTGCTGGCTTAGGCTCACATGAGTTTCACGTAGTGTTGACAAACGCAAGACTTTAGCAAAGCCGCATGATCAGCAGATGCTCAGACGGTCAGAACTTGGCTTTACCGAGGTGCAATGACTCATGTGCTTGCCTTCTAGTATCGAAGACCGTTCTTCTGCATGTCAGAGTTTTCTTGGAGGAGGATTCATGCTCGGCCTCGTACGACCAAGTTGACCCCTTCAGCTGCGCCTTCCCTACAATCTTTGTTGCGGTGGGCACATGAATTCACGTTTCTGATCGTTTCGAGTGATGGGTTCAGTCTATTGCGGGGCCGTGGGCGCCCTACTCATACCTTCTCAGAATTGTGCGTTAGGAAGTTCAAGGCGAAGGTATTACAAGATGCAAACATTTTGGAACCAACAAGATTTGGGCGCCTAGCCGATCACCCCAGAGTAAAATGACGGGGACCGAAACGCGGGGTCATTCACGGCGACCGTGAGAGCGACCTCTCGTGCTGCAGCGACGCCGAATTGCAGTACGTCGGCCGACGCTCGAGTGCTTCGCAGGGTGGCCGGGATGGAGGAGCTGAGCCGGAAATCGACCCGTCAGACGATCGGGGCATTCGCGGGGGTGGGCGGACAAACCCGTCGGTGAGTCAGTCACCGCGGCCCACCTGTCCGAGATTCAGTAGTGTTTGAGCCTCTGAAATTCGCTGATTCCTGTAGTTAGATCTGCCAAAGAGTGGCTTATGAGGTCCACAAAGTCTCGGCCTATGCGCAGGGAGGAGTCACCATCTTCGTGAATATGTTTCTTCGGTTGCCTATCCTCAAGCCAAATTGGAGCATGATTTCAGTCTGTTTGCGAATATTTACCGTTCGAAGCAAACCTCCTGGCGTCATGAGCCATTGGCATCAAGCATGCATTTGCAGTGCTTTGCGCCATTTTGGATACAGTGCGAGCCGTCAGAGGTGCGCTCACTGACTATGCATAAAGCATCCTGACTTTCTTGACCAAGCCTAATTCCTAATCCCACTTCCGCAATAAAAATTCAAACGCGCTTCGTATCGAGCATTCGAGCGTACCAACTTCTGCGATGTTTGTCCGATGAAGCCATTCATGACATGAAACAGTGCGCGATCATATTGCAGAATAAGATCACGGGAAGCCAACCTTTATCGCCGTAAATTAAACATCAGCTGCCAGATTCTGCTTCAACATTCATTACTCAATCACATCCATTCGTCAAAATTGGGCAGATCGTGACTGATGGCATTGGATCGTTCAGAAGCGATCACAAAAGGTTGTTATTGGCGGTGAAAAGCTCGATCTGGCATTTTGATCATCAAACGAATCTGACGTCAGTTTCCAGACTCGAACGCTACAGGTTGACTCCCACAGTACTGTACACAAAGTCACAAAGAATGCTCTCATTCCCACTAACGTCCACCCTTCCACTCGCCCCGTCTTGTCACACAGGGGTACAAGCACAAATGTCCACATACTATTTTCTCGCTCCGTCTTGTCACACAGTGCTAAAAGCCGCACAAAACAGCCGTGCTTTTATTGGCCGCTAGTTGCCTCGGCAAACATGCGCGCCCCTTTCTTCACGATCTTGTCGACACGTGTATTGAAGGCAGTGGCCACGTAAAATGCGGGCTCGGCGAAGCTTTCTCCGCCGTCCGATGCGTCAGACGTCGCTGGTTTGCGTCTCTTGCTCGACCGGTGCGCTTGACCCGTGGTCTCCGTCTCCGCCTGATCGTTTGCCTCTGCGCCGCTGGGCTCTTCCTCATTGGCATCGACTCCTTTGGCAGCCGCCTGCAAAGGCACGAGGTAGCTTTTTGAGATGCTTCTTTTCTAAACTTCTTCAGGTGCTTAAAATCGCTTAAGTGGGAGCTCGACATGGATGCCCTGTTTCCTCAAGCCTGTACTGAAAGAGCAGTGGCACGCATGCCGGTTCTCTGACGATTTTTGAGGAGCGACTGCGAGAAGTCGAACAATCCATAGAATAGAAATAGAGGCTCCGTAAAGATTCACGAAAACCTTCTTCAAATTGGGCGATCGGAGATACCGGAAGAATCTGGAAGACCAACACCAGCCGCGAAAAGTTTTCTAAACCCGATGCCTTCTCGCTGCAAACATCTGGTCGTCTAGGAGTGCCCATCAGAAGGCGCCAACAAGCTAGGAAAAGGGTAAGGAGAAGAAAGAAGATGTGGACTTTCGAACAATTGAGTACTTTTGCTGCCAAAAGATGAAGCCCACAAGGGACCGCAGGATCCTGCGGTAAGCACCTTGAAGATCTCAGCCCTCCGTTGAAGGGATCGGATGAAAGAAATTCTTTCAAGCACAAAAGTAAGAAGACGTGCGACATCCGACAGATCCCTATCGTGCTGCTGTAAGTTGCGGGGGCGCTACGGCTCCACAGAGATCCTAGAATGGGGAGAAAGCATCGCGTTGTCAGAAAACGGGGGTCGGTTGCAAGCCGAGCTTCAACCGCAGATCCTGTGTCAAATTCTGTCACCATACCCTAAAACCACACAAACTGACATCTGGGGTCGTTTGAAGCAGAAGCAGATTGGGTTAACGTTACCTGATGGGGTTTGGACGCGGGGCAGGCCCAGCTGACGTGGCGCGCGAGGCTGCTGGCGGTAGCCAGCATTCTGCCGCACCGGGCGCACGGAAATTGCGACCGGTCGGACTCGTCCGGGTCGACATTGGTCCACCAGTGCTTCCTCTTCGCACCGGGCCCCTCGCTGTCCTTCCGGTCACGGTCCTGCAAGGCAGCATCTCATGCTTCAGGGTATACATCGTGCTGCTGCGCTGAGATGACGATTTTCATCAGATCAAGCCGTTGTTTTTTCCCCTGATACTTGGGAAGAGCTATTCATTCCTATCCCTTTAGTCCCTTATTCCCCCCTCCGTCCAGAAGGCGATATCAACCAAGTCCGTCGGGGGATTTGGGTCAACAACTGGCGAGGGACAAACAACTTAGGGCTATATATCTTTCGGCGTAATCGTTCTGTGGGCTCCCCTTTAACGCGTTCGAGTGAAGCTTAGCACGAATACATGTTCAATCTTGCACGCTTTGGCCATAACACTCGGAAGAGTTTCTGTTTCAAGAAGGAAGTGGGAGCCAAGCTTTAAGTTGTTCAATGAACTAAACTCCTTTGCATGTGGGTCCTTGCAGATAGCCCTTGAATTGTGTACGCTGGCTTTTAACATACCTTACGCCTCTTCCCTGCGCTGTGTTGTGGTTCAAGAAGTCTTCCCAATCCTCTTGGAGGTCGAAGCGCTCTAGATCGTCGACGGGCTCGATGCCGCTGAGATTTCTCTCCAGGGGCTGCAGAAGGGGTCGTCGAGTCATTGGAAAAGATAGATTCATCAAGGGAAATCAAGTTGCTCTGGGAAAGAGAATTAAACCGGTCGATAAACTGACAAAGCGGAATACCAAGTACCAATTGCGGAACAGGGAATAGCAGTAGAAGATTTCTTAACATTTTCAAGGACGTTTGTGGTTTGAGAACCGGAACACAGCTCAGATGTTCGAAAGTTAAGTCAGTCTGCTTCAGCTTTCCACATACATTGGGGCCACCTCGTCACAGGCGGTCCAACGAAGTAGCTCCAACCATGATTGGCAATCTGAGGGGGCGATCCAATCGAATTTCGAAGATAGTGTTGCATTATACTTATCAGCAGAAGTCGTCGAACAACTTCATATGGTTTTATGACGGACTGAGAGATCGGAAGACGGGCTCACAAATGTCTTGGACGGATCAGAAGTCAAATTTCTCAGAAAGAAAGTGAGATGTACATATGTTCGGTACGGTACCCGTACCTCTGTCCTTGTGTGAAGGTACGTTTGGATAGCGCACATGGCCGAGAGCACTTTGGTCAGCTTCATGCCGCTAGCGACCGCCTTCGGTTGAGAGCTGCACGTGCAGGCAACCAGTATCAGTGGTTTACGTCAACCAGAAAAGCAGAGCTTTCCGGCCCACGCAAGCACGTACTTTTTCAAACTCAGATTGGACTTCAGTTGCACCTACTCTGAACAATGTTCGCGCCTTGTGAATGGTCTCTCACCAGAGGAGGCATCAGTATTACGTAGCAGAACTGTTGGGTGCGTATCGGTGTTGATCCTCTGAAAGTGGATAAACTACCTGCCCAACAGATCTGCGACTAGAATACAAACGGGCTGAACTAAAAGAAGCACAATTTCAGTCCAATGAAGCACCTCATCTTTGAACCTGTGGGCATTTTCCGACCTTTGTTGGAATCAAAACTGTCCTCCTCGACCGCTGCTTTCAGGGGCTAATAACACGCAATCATCCATCTACCACAAAGGCACGAAAGGGTGCACCTTAGATAGGCGCTGAATATTGACTGATTGCGCGCTTCATCTAATCGGAAGGGGATGAATTAATCCTGACCAGAGAATGTTTGGCATTTCTTGTACCTCTTCGATATTGTGAAGAATATGGCATGCTTCCGCCGGACAGCACGATAACAAGCAAAGCCGGATCAGATGTCGTGTGTTCTCAAGCAAATGGGCGTAGGCAGTTGTGGGTTCTGATAAGGGCTCGCCGCCTGTAAGAGAGACTTGGAAGCTAACCTGCCCAGCAGGACCCTTGCAGCGTAGTCAAAGGCGTCCTTGAACGCTGGCTGCAGCTCCTTCAGAAGCGCCTCCGGCACGAGGGAGAACAGCCCCGTCTTGCACCAGTTCTTGTACATTTCCGGCACTAGAGCTTCTTCATCGAGCTTCTCACGCGCCTTTTCTTCGGTCCACGGTCTCATCAGTTTGATTACGAGGGTGCAGAACCCCCACCCCGCGCCTTTCTTGTTGTACGTGGCCGTGAGAAGGTCGACGAACTGTAGCAGCCGATCCTCGTAGCCGCCCAGTTCGTCCATGATTGCTTTGTTGCACTTCGGCTTGCGGAGCCTAGAGACGTTGACCAGCTTCAGGAGCGCCAAGAAGGCCTGGAGCGTCTCGGCCGTGTTGACCTTCTTCGCACAGTCTGTAGCGTGTGCAGTGGTCACCTCCATCTTTGATGCGCTTTCAAGTTGGCGAAGCTTTCCCTCCTTTTGTGCTTTGTGCGACTCGCATACCAAACAACAATCGACCTTCCGAAGTCGGCTTTCCAGAAAGGCGCTAACAGTGGACGCCTAGAAGAAGAGGCCTGTGGGCTGTTTGTCACTCATGCTGCGAACTTCCGTGGACGGGAGAGAAACGTCTGCGTGCCAGCACCAAAAACACTGAGCGCCTGGTAGAGGACCCGAGCCTAGATTTGTACCCGTTACGAATCTAGTCTAGGAAGTGTCGTCTGGCACTGGTCACCGTCCAGTGCCAAACGTACGACACTCACTCTGAGGGTCCCTGACTCTCTCGCATGCATACGTGACATTACGGGTCGGATGATCGTCCAAGCGAGATGCCAGGTTGCCAGATGATATTGTATAGAAGATGTGCGGATATTTCAGTACTCAGCATGACGACCGTCTGTTGCCACTATAGCCTCCCGGCGCGCGCGTGTCAATCGTCACCCTCCGACAGCCAACCGGGCCCATGCAAATGCATGCGAGGCATGTGCACATGCACTGCATAGAGGTGCAATCATGGCTGAATTGCACGAAAGTCATGCAGTACCTCATAAGTGACTAATTATGCCACAATTGCAAAGCGTGTCGTCTATACCTAGAACGCGCGGCCGTTGGTTAAAGCGTGCAGACGGACGGTACACGTTCATGCAAAATGAGGATGTCCAATCATGCAGATCACGGCTAGCGATCGAGTAGGATGCAGTTTGTTGAGGGAGCGTGCAGCACCATGCGGATAGGCAATCTCCAAATCTAGCTCATGCTGCGCGGCAAGATGGGTGAACGTACCGTCAACAGACTTCCAAGACACGACACTCGTCAAATCATAGCAAACGAGTACATGGGCGCACGTCGATTTGTGCTCATGAATGGCCGACTTGTACACTAAGGCTTTTGCGCATTCGTTCGCGCCTTCTTGTTTGTGTGGGATCCGCTCAGGTCATCTTATGGCCTCTGTATTGCCCACAGTTTGCGTTGGGCCCGGACTTGAGTCCCCTCCGCCTCAAATTCCTCCGCCTCTTCTTCCGAGCTCGACTCACCGCTGGACTCCCACGTGTTGGTCACCCAAGCCGCCACCTGCAGAAGCCCACCATTGTAAGATCATTTGACCGCAGTTCTGTCGAGCTTGAAAAGTGCTACAAATTATATACTGCATCCATAATTGTTGGTTCCTCCAGAGGAGCCTCTGTCCAAGAAGGTCGTTCCTACAGACACTCGAAACCGCATCATTCGAGCACGGAGGCTGTTCCAAAAGCAAGCTCGGCGAACAATCAACCGAACTTTGGACTGTTTCTGACGATTCTTGCATTGCGGAGAGCAACCTCTTACTGCCTCCAGCCCTTCTGCGCGCACAACCTATCTGACAATCTTGATCTAGATATCACGAGCAACTTAGTGAAGCTAGACAGTTGAACTTTCAGAAATAGAAAAATCTCAATTCTGTACATCAAAAAGCTCGAAGTCCGATTGAGCGGCCCCCTTTCACAAACAATTATCAACAACCAAGCTTACCAAAACCTAACTGGTTAGCACGTACAGAAACTAGCTCCTGGACTTGACGCTGCCTCCTTCAAAGCACCTTCGGAACAAGGACCTTGGAAGCTACATCAGCAAAGTTGCATCCGAAGCTTACAACTGTTAGAGAGACGGGAATTACCTGCTGAGGCCCCCACGGCAGCAGTTTGTGCTCGTGCCTCCCCCCTTGCTCGCTTGCATTCGTTCCCGTTTCTGGTGCCCCGACCCAGAGCGGCTCTCTACACTCCTTACAGTACGCCCGGTTGGACGCGAACACTTTCGCCGGGGACTGGTTTCTCCACGCCGACCGGAATGCCTCTTTCCACCCCGGGAGCACGGTCCCCGACTTCAGAACCGGGTCCCCGCGACCGTTCGGTTCTGCACTTGCGGGTGGCTGCTTTCTAGACGAAGGGGAGGTATTATTTTTGTCCGGTACAGGTTCGGTTTCTTTGACGCTGAGCCGAACTAGAGCGGCCGCGGTTTCGGACGTCCGGTCGGCGCCGAAGACGGCTGCGAAGTGGGCCTCCCACAAGGTATCGTCGTCGGCAATCTCGCGCCAGGCCCTGATGAAAAAGAAACAATCGATGAAACTCGGGAATGCAGGAGTCGAAGTGGTTTCAACGCAGAAGTTGACACATGGAGGATGCCATGGCGCTTTAGCTGGCCGTATTTTGCTTCGCTGTATTTCGCCCTTAGGAAAACTGTGTAGGTCGAACGAATGTCTGTCGTTATTTAACGTGTCAGGTGTCCGAACAAGACCAATTGCAACCACTTCAAGGATCTGGCTTCCGCTTAAGCTTGACAACGAGCACGTCATTCGGTTCGTTAATCCAGCATCAAGATGCCAAGCCCCCTTCAAATATCTTTAGGGCCTCCTAGCGCAAGAAGAACGAAGAGCAGACCGGTCGGCAGGGCTCATTGGACCTTTTCCCCCCGTGTCCCAGATAATGAGCGGGCTACGAACCGACCCTGACTTCACGCCTGTACTTAGTTTGGCAGTTATGCGCGAATGTTCGTGCGAAGTGGGCATAAAGAGATTGCAAGAAGAAGGCAGTCAGGTCGGAACAACAGAACGTGAGTAGAACTAGAACGGGTCGTCATGGCAGCACCCAGAAATCAGCAGTCGGATTCCGCCAAAGTAGGTGGAATCATTTAGGTCAACGTAGTCTTTTTCCGATAAAATACGTGCACTAGAGACAATTCCGGAAGATCTCTCACCGTTCCAGAGATGATCGACGCAGATCCTCCTCGCTAGTTTCGTCGGATAGAAGGTTTGTGTTCATAGAGAAGTACCAGTTCGAAAAGGCGGTTCTGTGCCTTCTCGATCGACAAAATCGTTATTACTTTGAGAAGAAGCAGTACCTGCACACGCAGCCTGCCGTTGCAAGCGACGCAGCATCCAGTGACCCAAAGACCGTCCGAAGAGCGTCCGATGGCAGGTCCTCGGCGGACCCGGACACGCCTTCGTCGCCTTCTAACGAGCTCGAAGCTGCACTGGTAGAAGACGAGCAGCGCATGTAACCCCAATTTCGTACAACAGAGCGCAAGAAAATTTGATACAGGAAGGGGAATCAATCAAGCGCAATTTAAGGGAAGAAGCAAGCTTGAGTGGACCTTTCGAGTTCTTGCGTTTTGCTAGATGGTCAGTGAACAATGTTCATAAACGATTCCGGTTGAGAACTTCATGGCATCAGATTGCTCGAGACGTGTATGACTGACGAACTGGTGACGAAAGTAAACTGCTTGCCGTTGAGGCTGTTGAAAAGCTGCAGAGCGTCAGCTTTTGGCTTCACTGTCGACTTTATGAAGAAAGAGGGCCTGTCAGAGCAAAGATTACGCAGGTCCTCCGTGACTTATAGAGCTCGTATCCGACTGACCAGTCTCAAAAAAGTTCGCGTGCGAAGCCGTTTACTAACATGACTTGGACGTCATAATAAAGCTCGTTCCCAGAAGAGTACGTCGAACCATCGGTCCTTGGTGGTCCTACTGAAGAAGGAGTAGAGGCGCCGCTGGGCACTCGCAAAAGCGAGAAGTGAACATGTATCATTCCGTACGAAACCGATCGGCCCTTGTTGGCAAAGGGACATCCTCTCGTGAGGAAAGTTCACTGTCAAAACGGAGATCAGCTAGATCAATTCACTTCCGCCAACCTGCGTCCGCCAACGCCACAGCCCCGAAGCAACGCCCAAGGCCAAACGCTTCGAACCGCCTTCGATCCCCAAAAGTGGAATTCTTATGCGATTTGAAACTCTGCGAACCTGCTTTCAGAGTGATTGAGATTTCTGCTTCACCAGTCAAAAAGACATGCATGTGAAGAACGGATTTCGGATTCTTGGTGAGATATTCGAGTCATCTCACCTACCTCGCTCCTTCTTCTGCCTTCTCTTGGACTCTAGAGCCGCGGACTTGAACTCTTTGGCTGCGGCCGCTTTCCTTTGGCGGGGGAAAACTGCCTCAGCCGCGCGCACAAGAGCCAGCGCCCCCCGTTGCTGCTTGCGGCCGTCCATCCTGTCCAGAAGAAACAAGCATTAGAAGACGGTAGCGTCAACTGGGACCACATGCTTCTAGTATGGACGGGCATCTTGCCACAATCTTTCCGTCGTCGACCATCAATTCATTGATTGTCAACCTGCGGAGGAGAGCGAGACTCGGCATGCGACTCCAGGTAATGTTGATTCGTGGGTCTCCCAAGTATGAGGATCGGCACAGCCTTGACCATCCGAGAGTAGATTTAAAGAGTGATGGAAGAGACCCAAGCTTGAAACAAGTCTTGTTCTGTAAAGCTCCAGATGTGAGTGATCTTAGTGGAGCTGCAGCACTTGCGTAATCCTCTTCCGCAAACCCTGACTCAAAACGCATTCTTAAGAGGTCGTTAGCACATGGCTCACACAATGGGGAGTACGACAGAAGTTACTTCAATCTTCTGGAGCCTGATAACTTACATATATGTGTGAGAACATGCTAAGTCCGTCCTATCAGTGTATGCTCATTCTTATGCACTTTACAGGACTGTTGTAGCCAGACTCTCTGATAAAAGGACAGAAAAAGGACACTGAATAGTGACTACCTTCCCAGCAACTGCAGCGCCAGTGTGGTGTCGCTATAGAGGCGCACCTGGACGGCCTTGCTTGCAGATGCATATGCCTGCCGCAGGATGATCGCCAACTCCTGACACGCCTCAGCATAGTCACTCCTGTATGAAAAGGCAGAATAATTGATATAATTGAATATTGTGTTCAGTAGCTTGATGAGCCCAGATTTGAGCTGAGTCTTGTACAACGTCCAATCAGATCTTTCGCCGATTTGGTCAACCCTTCTCTGGATCTTCACGCTCATACACAAATTTTAGAGGGGCGCTACTTCCGGAACTGAGAAATCCAATGGCGGTGGGGCAAGTTTCAGCCGCCCCTTCCTCCTGATCAGGTGAAACTACTAAGCGATTAGTTTGGGCACGCCGACTTCTCGAAGATTGATTGCACGGGTTTTCAGGATCTTAAAATCTTTTGGGCCTTTCAGAAGGAGGCACGGGGGGTTTGGCATCTCAAATCTGAGACTCCACCGCAGAGAAGTGGACAATGCTAAGCAGGACCGAGGACTGAGAGTAAGCGCGCTTGAAAGTAGGGTCCAGCAAAAATAAAGGGCAGCCGATGATATGATGGGGGCCAAATTCTGCTGGTCTGATTCTTTTCTCCACAGAGTGTGTCACCCAGAAACCTTTAAAGATAGGACCGATCAGCAAGTGAATCCTGCTGGTGCATGTGGACACATGTAGCAAAGGACTGAAGAGGGACTTGCAACCCTGTTTGGAATGCTGTACTCATGTTATGTGAAGCAGGTAAACTCTGGCGCAACAAGAAATTCAGAGAGATGAGAGCAGCTCAAGCTGCTGTTGTTCAGATGCTGAGACCCAATGAGCATTTCTCTTCACGAGCCTGCACAAGGTCTGTATCCAGCGCTTCTACCTTCAGAATCTTCTGCGTGTCAATAGCCGCGTACGAAGACTGCGCAAATCTGGAAGATTTAAGGGAATGCGTAGAGCACCAACTACCTGACAGCGCCAATCGTAAAGTTCCATGAAGGAAATGTGCAGCGGTTGGCTTCTTGTCTTTGTAAGGTCACAATGTCTGCTATCATAAGGGATCGTGTCAGGACGCTAATAAGCTCACCTTCTCTCAAAAGCACCCCATAGGTGGAGCTTCTCGTACCTTCGACGCGAGAGGCCCGCCTCAAGCTCCTCTTCATCGCTTGAAAGGTGCCCCATGTTCTCGCCGCCTCCCAAAGCGCCGCACCGCTTGGGAAAAAGCTAGTAATAGCAATGCATGTCAAACACAACTCTGATTAATGGGGCATTCTTGCTACCACGCACCTTCTCGATATCAAACACAATCTACCTACGTACTACGTAGTGTAGCTGTGTCATTGTGTGTCTGGACAAGGAAGTGGTCCACTACCACGGACCAGTCCAATAGCAAGTGTGCCCTGTGAGGCTGTGCAAGCTGTGCAAGCTGTGCAGAGCGCCATTGCTGATGTCATCCCTTTTCAGGGTCTGGACTCTGGAACCAATTGAAAGCTGTCGATCTTCTCCAAAAATCCAATCGACGGCGGGAAAGCTGTGGCAGAAAAAGATGTCGTCATTTCCGATCGTGCCCCTTCGAGCGACGGTGCTGCGTGATTCAAACTGGTCGAGCTTGAAAATATCTCTCGGGCTCACGACGCACTTTTCGGCTTTTTGTCAAAGCTTTTGTCAACAAATTAATTTCCCGCACGTTTGCAGCTGTTGACCATGACATGGGAAACTTGAGGGTCACTTTGACAGGCTTTGTTGACCAAAGTAGGTAGGACTAAGATCTCAGATCTGCCTTTTGGCCGAACGTTTCAATTGTGTAATACCCAGGTATAAAGGAATCAGGAAAAGCTGCATTGCCCCACAGCTTGAACTTAAAGTTGCTCTGGCATCGATACCGGTAGAAGGGTATTCAAGCTCCCCATTTCTACTGATCAGCTACATTCTCACACACTCAGCAGACGTGAAACTCTCTTTGTCTCTTTCCCGTGCCCGTTTGTAAGTGACGCGCAAGCAGAAGTACTTGTCTGAGCTCAATTGAGCGCTTGCAAAACCAGACCCATTGCCCATCGACCTGGTCTCGCAGACATGGAGGCAGTCGCAGCGACCTCCAATCGCCTGCCATTAACCGTGGGCAGTTTGCAGCTTTCACAGGCCGGACAGCGTCTTCCAGCAAGGAAGTCGAGCTGTGCCCAATCTAGTCGGTAGGTGCTCGCATTCTCAAAACTTTGTTCATCTGCTCTCTCTTGAATTCTGCACAGCATATCCCATATCCATAATTTCAAAGGGATCTCCAGGTGCCTGGGCCTCTGGCCACTTGCTGTAATCCTTATCATCAATAATGAACTTGAGGAGGCAACACAGCTATCGAGGCTCATCCCACGCCCTCTTTGCTCATGTATAGATCAGGAACAATCTCTTTTGCCAGTTTGATCAGTGTGACAGAAAAACTCCTCTGTCCATCAATCTGATGCACAGTTGCGATCTCTGATTTGGCTCCCCCAAAAGAAGGGCACAACCGCAATTGGAGACGGTATTCTCTCCTTTTCTTGCAGGCTTCCCCAGCTTTCAAAGGTCTGTTCACACCAGTCCACTACAAGAGCTCAGCTCAAGGGTCACAAGGTGGAGGAGACGGGTGCGAAAAAGCCTAGGTGAGGCTAGCTAGATAGTTCCTGCAACAAGTACTGACTCTTACCAGACTGCCATTGATGATTTCTCTGCCCTCGGGCGTTAAAAAGGTGTGTACTTGAAGGTGGGGTTGTGCACATTCAAACCCAAATCATTTCATTTCTCCATTCATCATAGTTCTTTGTACGTCCCTGCAATCATAAAGACATCAGTGCTTTGATGGACTAGGGTCCCCACCTACCCACTGATACGGGGCGTAACGCTAGCAACAGTGATCAGTCAAAAGCAAGTGAGGGAGTAATTGTAGCAACAGTGATCACTTCAGAACTGCTATGGTTCCAGCAACTAAGCCAACTCCAAATAGTCACTCAACCTCTCATCAATCACACAGATCTCTTGCCCCTGCCTCATCCTTGGCTAATGACTCTTCCCTCAGCCCACCATGTGCCTCTAACCCATGTTTAACCTGCCTATTTAACCAACTCATGCTTACGCTCAAGCACCGCCGGAAATAGGTGCTCCTCATACATAACCACCCTCTCAACACCACGGTAGGAGCTTTGTTATTTATGATATGCAGGCAAGTTGCTGCAAGAGCGATTGCAGTGAACCCCCCCCAAAGCCCCGCCCCCCCAGAGGACGACATACTCCCCCCCCAAGATGACTCAGCCACAGGATGGGAGGGGTTCGTTATCAGGACAGAAAGACGGATCAATGTTGCCCTTACTGTAAGTGCCTTTCATTTTCCCTCTCTTTCACTTTCTGTCCCGAAAAGAGGACCAAAAAAGGACAAAGGAGACAAAAAGGGAGCTCTTTCCCCTGGGGAACTGCCTTTCAAAGTATCATGATTGCTGCTAGGCCTTAGTACTTTGAGATTCGGTGTGATTGTAGCTCCTCCTATGGGGGCATGGGACCCGAGGAGTGGACTGTCGCTTTGCTGTCACAGGGCCTGTCTATGCAATCCACTCACGTTTCACCCTCTTATTCTCTTGGGCCCGTCTGATCTTTTAACCATACGCCCACTCTTTGATGCTGATTCCCATGCAATCAGGGAAAAGCACTGTATTGCGTTTCTCCCAGCAATCTCCGTTCGTACTCCCTGCTTCAATAGCAGTGTCTGATGTGCTGCATCTCGTCTGCAGGGGTTCATCGTGACTATCTTGGACGCTATCTACACTGACCGCCATTATGCCCGCTTCTACATGCTGGAGACCATCGCAAGAGTGCCCTATTTCGGTAGGTGAAAGTTGTCATTCATTGCAATTTCTTATTGCTCCTGACCTTTTTTACCCCCCCTTCTCTGATGCCTCCAACTTCTGTGTTGCTATCCGTACTTGCTTCCTTTCGTCTTCTCCCCTTCCGAATCCCTCTCTCCTCCTCCTTCCTCAAAGCTGATAGCCTCGCTCAGCTTCAACGAAATGTGACTCACTCGCCTCTTTGTGTCGTGTGTTCCTAGTATGCACCCAAGGCGGCATGATTTAACAATCAATCCGCACTAAGATAAATTTAACCTGCTGCCTGTCTGCTGTTGAGGTTTCTGATTTCACTAGGATCTGCCTCGCTTCTCTTACAAACAGCTTCCTTATAGAGGCTGCGCCCAGGTGCGCCTCAACATCAATTCCAGGGACACTTAAGTTTGCTCCCTGCACCCAATCATTCAGCCTGACTCGATTCTTCTTTACGCCGCCTACTTGTTCGAGCTCCACGTGTACGAGAGCTTCGGCTGGCAAATCACGTCAGAAGGCCCATTTCCTCAAAAATCAAAGAGACTTTCGAATAAATCTACATAATCAAAACCCAACTCTAACCTCTTTTTATACAGCCTCCCTGTCCGTTCTTCAAATGTACGAGAGCTTCGGCTGGTTGTACCGCGCCGACAACTTTCAAGGCCACTTCCCTAAGCTTAGGTGCACTTTCCTCAAGAATGTGTTTTCAACAACTCCACAACTTCATGCCTGGCAACCCTGACTGTGACTTCCGATTCCGCAGCCTACCTGTCCGTTCTCCAAGTGTACGAGAGCTTCGGCTGGCGGCGCCGCGCGGACTACCTCAAAGTCCACCTCCCTACAATTACATGGACCCTTTTCTGAGACCTTTGTCTTACAACCCCATAATCCCAAGCTTGAATCCTGTTTTCAACTTCCGTCCACGCAGCCTACCTGTTCGTTCTCCATGTCTTCAGATTT